TGATATTGAACTCGCTAAGCTCTATGACCCACTTTATTAGCCTCCTCGAGGACTTTGGCTTAGGCAACACTTGTTTAATTGGCTGTTCTGTTAGAACCTCGATGGTATGAGCCTGAAAATAGGGTCTGAGTCTCCTAGTCATAGTTACCAATGCTAAAACAAGCTTTTTCATTTTCGGATACCTCTCCTCCGCCCCCTTAGAGCTCTAATGCAGTAGTAGATTGGTTGTTGGGACCTATCTCGTTCCCTCACCAGAGCTGCACTAGTTGAGAAATCTGAAACTACTAGATAGAGGGTTAGTATCTCCCCCTACAAGGGACTTACCAAGACAAGAGGGGAGCTCAGGTAAGCCTTCAAGGCTTTGAATGCCTCTCCACATCAGACATCCCATTGAAACGCCTTTTTTAAGATCTGAAAGAAGGGCTGACATTTATCACTTGACCTGGAAACAAAACGACTCAAGGCAACTACTCTTCCTGCCAAGCGCTGAATCTCCTTTACATTAGAAGGTGGTTGCATATCCAAGACTGCCTTTACCTTTTCGGGGTTAGCCTCGATTCCTCTACTATTGACTACGAAACCCAAAAATTTTCTTACAGATACTCCGAAGGCACACTTTGTAGGATTGAGCTTCATCTTGTATTACTTAATGACTTGGAACGATTCTGCTAGATGTGCAATGTGGAGCTCTGCCTTCAGTGATTTCACCAGCATATTGTCGATATATACCTCCATGGTTGTTCCAATTTGACCTTGGAATATCCGATTCACTAGAAGTTGGTAGGTGGCTCCTGCGTTTTTTAGTCCAAAAGGCATGACCTAGTAACAGTATGTTCCTTACTCAGTTATAAAGGAAGTTTTTTCTTGGTCGGTTGGATCCATTTTGATCTGATTATATCCTGAGAAAACGTCCATGAAACTAAGGAGTTCATGTCCGGCTGTGACATCTACTATCAAGTCTATCCGAGTTAAAGGAAAGCTGTCCTTGGGGCAAGCTCGGTTGAGATCAGTGAAGTCAATGCACAGTCACCACTTGTCGTTGATTTTCTTGACAAGAACCACATTGGCCAGCCAGGTAGGGTAGTCAACTTCCCTAATGGCTTTGGCGTGGAGAAGTTTGCTGACCTCCTGATTGATTATCTTTTGGCGTTCTGGGGCAAAACTCCTTCGTTTTTGCTTAACCGTTCGGTAGGTGGGATTCACACTAAGCTTGTGTGTGATAATTGAGGAGTCGATTCCTTCCATGTCTTCTTGCTTCTAGGCGAATACTCCCCTATTCTCCTTTAGGAATTGGATGAGGAGGTCTTTTATTTCTTTGCTTAGCTTAGATCCGACGTAAACAAGGTGTTCAGGCTCCTTATCAAGCTGGACAGGCTCTAGCTCCTCTGATGGTGTTGGTCTAGTCTCCAATTCGTCTCTCATATCCAGCTCATCTAGCTGGACATTCTTGACTTCTCTCTGTTTCATCGAAGTCATGTAGCACTCCCTTGCTACTCGCTGGTCTCCTCGGACCATTACAACTCTATTTTCCATAGAAAATTTCATAACCAAGTGATAGGTAGAGGGGATTGCCTTCATCGTGTTGAGGGAAGGCCTTCCGAGAAGCATATTATATGCAGAAGGGGCATCCACCACTAGGAACCTTACTGTGGTGGTGGCCTAGTAGAGAGGATCTCCCATGGTGAGGACGAGTCGGATTGAACCCAGGGGTAATGCCCTTTCTCCTGCGAAACCCAACAAGTGAACACTGATCGGCCCCAGTTTTTTTCCTACCTATGTCCATTTTGTCAAACGCAGAAGCGAATATGATATTTGTTGAACTCTCGTGGTCAATTAAGACTTGGTGAATAGTTCTATTAGCCACTACAGCTCTAACCACCAGTGGGTCATCATGAGGGTGCTGGTAGCCTTCCAAATTTGAGTTTGAAAAGGTGATGGTCGTGTTCAGCCGAGGTGCCTTGGACACTGTGTGTATTTTCAACGCTTCGCCATCTCTGATTCTACGCAAGTGCGCCTTTTGGGTAGAACTGGACTCCCTTTCCTCTGCGAACCCTCCAAAAATTACTCTGATTTTGCCAAGGGGTTGTTGATGCAACACAGGAGTCTGTTGCTGAGGCGGTGGAGGTGGAGGGACTCGGTCCTGATTATCCCGAGCTACATAACGGCGCAACTGATCTCGCTGGATTAGAAACTCAATCTCCTTCTTCAGTTGGATACAATCATCAGTATGGTGACCATGATCTCTATGATATTCGCAATATTTTTTGGGATCTCTCTTTACTGGGTTTACTTTCATCTGAGGTGGCCACCTTAGAAACTTCTCGCTCTGCACCTCGTATAAGATCTGAGATATCGTTGTAGTGAGTGGGGGAGTTGCCGAGGTGTGTACCTTGGCTGTAGCTCTGGCCGTGACAGACCTAAGCGATCTGGCATCTCCCCTCCTTTTGGGGGAGCGATCTCTGTACCTTCTTGGAGACCTATCACGCCTTTTTTCTCTTCTAGGATTGTGGTCCCTTTTCCTTTCCTGTTTCCCTTTGTCTTTTTGCATAGATGAACTTCCTACTTTTGAGAGAAGGGCTTCTTCACCGTTTATGTATTTTTCTACCTTAGCCAATACCTCAGCCATGTTTGCCTGAGAGTTCTTTGAAATAGAGAACATAAGATCTTTGGATTGTACGCCCAGACCAGCTATAAATGTTGTAATGACAAACTTCTCATCTGGGACATCCACTTTCAGTGACTTCGAGTTGAACCGCTGGACATAAAACCTAAGGTTCTCATGGGGTTCTTGCTTCATGTTCAATAAGTGGTAGTTCGGCTTCCGGTATATCCGAGCTCCTATGAAGTGAGATACGAAGGACATAGAAACTCTTTAAAGGAGAAAATTGAGGCCGGGGGGAGCCTATTGAACCATGTCAGGGCTAACCCTTTTAGCATGATGGCGAAGGCTTTACAGCGCACTGGGTCTTGGTATCCATGGAGTTCCATCTGATTTTTATAAGTATTTAGGTGGTCCATGGGGTAATTTGTCCCATCAAAAGTTTCTATTTGCGGCATTCTGAATTTTGGGGGGAAGAAAAAATGCAACACGCCGGCCGTGAATGACGACTCAGTTTGTTGTACCAGGGCATCCATTGTAACTGGAACCTTGTTTTTCACAGCTTCCTTCATATGGCTGAGCTCTTGCTGAATGCCATTAAGGCGCTGCTCCCAATACTGCTCTCTCCTCCCCTGTTAATAGGGGAGAAAATTATTCCTTTTTTCCCCAATATTTTGACTTTGCACCTCTTCGTTGCGTCCTTTCCTTAGGGGTGGATGAGGATCTTGTCCCTAGGTCTGACTATTATCCTCTCCTTCACCAACTTCTCTGAGGGGGTCGAGATGTTGTTGCTCTCTGTGAGGGGGGTTATTCTGGCCTTTTTGGGCTGGTTGTGCCTCCTCGGGCGTTGTAAGAGCTTCAAGAGCTCTTCATTCTACTGTATCAGACATTGATTAATTAGACGAAGAGCCTCCAACTCATTATTTGCGTGGGGATTCCCCATGGGGGATTCGCCTCTGGGACGTTTTCAGGCTGTCTATTGTTGGTGGCTTCCTGTTGTTCTTGCATCCGTGGTAGGTTGGTCTAGCTTCTGCTCATGTTACGAGTTGAAACCATTAGTTACTGAAAGAACAACGTATTTGTAACAGGAACAATCGTTCCCACAGACGACGCCAAACTGATGATGTAACTCAATGTGATATAAATTTACGGTAATGAGCTGATGGAATGATCAGTATTCGATTATTAGGATTTGAGCTACAGTGCTCGAAAGAGCAATCGATGGAAAATTGGGGGATTGACACAATAGAATTATAGTGGTTCACCAGCTCGGAAGCTCGGCTAATCCACTCTTCAATGGAGACTCTTGCTCCCTTTCTTTTTGCTCCTCTTTCTGTAGGTTTACAGGATAGAGTATATGTTTCTCGCTCTCCCTTTTTGGAGAGTTACATAATATTTATAGGGTTGTTCATAGTTCTATGAGATCTATCCCGAGATCCTCGCTTTTTATCCAAGGACCTTTCCTTAATCCTATGAGAAGATTTTGGCTGATTAGGGATTTTATGCCTTAAACATGGCTCTTTGCCACCTAACAACTTTTTGTTATTATCCAGTTGTTTCCTTATCATTTCTGCTGTTGGTGCGCCTTGGGGGGGGGGGGGGGGCTCTAGCTCTGACCTGGGCTCTGCGTGTCTTTCTTGACTTCTTTTCCAGACCTACTCATCTTACCTCTTGGTCTGACCTCCTGATCCGACCTCATGCTTGGAAATTACTCTAAGTACTATCACCACTTAAACTACACATTTGGGTTAAAATCGACTTTATTTAACAATAAAACACACTACTGATCTATTGATCGCAATGAATTAAGTCTTCGTTTTCAAATTAGGTCTATTTTTTTATAAAGCATCCTCAGTGGTACCAAATAGAGCTCAAAACAGAGGGTGAAAATGAAGAACTACTGGTGGGTACGCTCGAGGATGTGCAAGTTCTCCCAGAACTCAAACTTGGTATGTCTTGTATATGAACAATGATATTTGAAGTTAATTTATTTTTTTTATTTTTTTGGGGAGGGTGAAGTTAATTTATTAATCTAATTTGTTGATTTAATTTATTATAGTCCTTGAATTAATTGGACCAACATTTTTTGTGTGTGGTTTGAAGATTAGATTGATTAGTCAAATACAAGACTAGGCTATTATTTAGCTTAATCTCCATAATAGCTCAAGTGGTATCCCTTGACGAGTTGTAAACTCAAATGTCTTGAATTTAAATCTTGACAACTATTTAGTGCCAGACCATAAGACGTATCGGCGTGAATGACCTTTGACGAGACTGGAAAGAAAATTAATCGAAGTTTGTATAAGTCAGTCTAGACACCCCCGATCGTTGAACCATAAGAAAAAAAATGAAAGAAAATTCCTGCAGTTGTAGATAGTAAAATGACATAATTGAGGATGCAGTAAGTCAATGACAAAGAATATTTTCATGCATCCACATGTTACTTTGAACACATCAAAATGTGATGACAAATATATCATCTATCTGCATAGTATACAGACCACAGATAGAGGTTTATTCAGCATACTTATGTTTCTGTCATGAAACCTTCACACATCTTTAAGATTACAAGATAAATGCTGAGAGAGAATGGTAAATAGGCTTATTGAAATTTCACAAGATTACATGCCACCCACTGGTTATGCATCATTCATCCATCATGCATAACAATCACCTCCAAGAACCAGAATATGAAGAGAGGGAAAATTCAGAACTTCTGGATAAAGTTGTAAATGTGTTTGTTGATCTCCTCGGGCTTCTCTTGGTTGACGAAGTGGGCTGCACCTTCGATTACTATAACTTCCTGCAACAATGGCACATCTTTCTGGAACGCACCGTTGTGTACATATTCCTTCATGCCTGTGATATGATAGGTCAAGTCCAAGTCCCCCAGAATAAACTTGGTCGGTATTGTTACTTTAGCCCCAGCCCAGGGTGCAGTGAGTTCCCAGTTTCTGCATTTAGTTGGGAAAACAACAATGCTTAACTCACCAAGCAAAAGAAGGTAGAAATCAAACATTTTGATTACACAAATGGTTAAAAGCATAGGGTGGTATCCATCAGAAAGGCGTGCCAAACAGAATCACAAGCAGACTTTTTAAGATTTTCTTCAACAACAGAAAACTCAGTGGCATGTAAAGCAAACTAGAACCTAGATATAAAAGAAGGCAGACATTGAAGCTGTGTTTTGAGACTCACACTTCCAACTAAGTTGGACGGACATTTATGTGGCTATTTTTGAATGTGATGGAGTGAAGTGGATTGGACTTAACTCCAAGGAGGTGAAGTAAAATCTTCCCTTAAAAACATTGTTTATCAAAAACTATTATGATTTACACACTATTAGGTTCCAGATACAATAAGAGTTGGAAGTAACTCACAGATCCAAAGCTCGGTAGAAGTTCACTCCTCCAGTGAAGCCACTCTTCTCAAATTTGCTGACATAGTAATCAACATCTTCTTCTGACAACCAAGATGGCAAAACAATTGGAGCATCGGGATCTCCAAAACCTTCACCTTTAGGAAAATAAATTGGACCGGGAGTGCGGTTTGTAAGAAATTTCTTCATGACTCTTTCAACTCCCAGCGGGGAAAACTCGGCTTCTATATCTCCAGGTTCCTGTCACATAATTAAACAATCTGTCCGTAAGATGGGCCATCTAGTCAATTGAATAAGAATTCATGCCATCTTTTAGAGATTACACATGCAAAATCCAAGGAGAAATTGCCCTGCCAATGATGTTGTGGACGAGGATCAAAATATTGTTTTAAAATGGTCGAAACATCTGAAACGTTTCTGTTTTCAAACAGACCGAAACGAGTCAGTGATGAAATTGAAATACTAATATTTCGAGGTGTTCTTTAATGTTTTAAAATATTTTGTTATATTTTAATACATTTGTACAATTATTTTGAAATGTTTCAAGGTATTTTAAGATATTTTGACAAATGTTTTGAAAAAATAATTCTTAAATTTTTTATTTTTTTTTATTCTGTTTTTGAAACAGTTCGAATCGTTTCCGAAATATGTCGAAACGTTTCTGAAACATGTCGAAACGTTTCAATTTTCTAAGTGATCAAAATAATGCATCAGAACAAAATTTTGATCATTGATTGTGGATGAGTAACACACCCAAGGAATATGTAGATGGATATTTTCATAACCGAGAAGTTTGTGAAGGATTTGAAATTCAAAACAACAAATAGCAATTCATGACACCAATGGGTACAATACATCCTAGAGACCCTCAAGATGGATATTTCTAACCGTTATAATCTTAACGGTCGTTTATCTGGTGACCCCTAAATCACATCTATTGGCTATAGTCGACAACTACGATTGTACAAGACCCAGATTTTTCCTAATGCTATTATACTATATTTTTGAAGTCAAGAAGCATAATTTGTGGGAAAAATAATTTGTGCCTATATAATACTTTAAGTCAATACATCACCCATCATTTTGGTAAATACTTCCATCAAACAAGGGAAGAAAAGAGGTAAAACACTATAATCGCCATTTGAAGTTGCAAATTTCTAACAGATAACTATTTCCATAACCAATTTAAATATGTACACATGCTAATCTTATTTACTCTACACTCCAAATGAGTAATGCTACTTGATCAAATTTTAGGACCAAATTTAGAGTCTAAATGACACGACAACTGTTGGGATTTAACACGATTTAAATCCACTAACAAACACACACAATCGAAAAACAAATCAAGAATATAAAGCAATAAGAAACAAGAAAGAACGAGACACAGATTTTACGTGGTTCGGCAATTTGCCTACGTCTACGAAGCTGCAGGATTTCACTATTGAGAGAGTTGAATTACAGAGAGCGGCTGTACAATCTACAATAAACCCTAATCACCAAAACAACAGGGTTTATATGTCCTACGCACTGGGTTGTATAACGGGCCCAAAAAATTTTCCTCGGGGGCGTTGCCCCCGAACCCCCACAAGACTTATCCATGAGCGCTACGGCTTGGGCCTATCACTCCACGGACTAAGTCTCAAAAAAATTTCCATTAAAAACCACACAATATTACTTCGGGTCGGGTCATCATCCGGATCACATATACAAACTAGACTCCATAAAAAAAAACCAACAACAACATATTATTTTGAGTTTTTATTAAGACCCAAATGACATGACACCAAAAAAAAGAAGCCCGTGTTAGCTGTCATGTCATTTGAACTTCAAATTTTGTCCCAAATTTTAGTCACTATAGTATTACTGTCTCCAATTAATTGTCCACCAGTAATGTTACACTGACCAAAATTTGAGACCAAATTTGAAGCTCAAATGACATGATAGTTGATTATTTGTAATTTTTATTAGATTTCAAATAAACATAACACCAATCAAATAAACTCAAATCAACAGACTCCAAATTTTAGTCGGTCAAACGTTACTCTTCGTCCCCTTGTCCTCGTCGTCAACTCAAGAAGGCAAAAAACCTTTTGGGCATCATAAATATGTTCAATAAGGCCATGAAGGAGCTGGGTCCCATGATATGAATCCACGATGAAGGAGGACCAAACCAGATTCTGAATTTGAACAATGATTAGTCTATATGACAAATCTTAAATCCATCATTGTACCCACAAAAATCCATACATTCAAATGCAAATCCCCACCAGAACCGAGATCAAATTCAAAGACACTTCGAGAATATAGTAAATGAATATAAATTTATGATCATGATTAAGAACAGAAAACCTGAAATCTGCATATGTAGTGATCATCCCCGTAAAGAGCACGAAACATTTCAACAATGTTCATCGCAGGATTCCTCGGAAAAAAAGGAACACTCAAGTTCACCAGTGCCTTGACTTTATCCGGTCTAAACAAGCACAAGTCCCAAGCAATTAAAGCACCCCAGTCATGACCAACAACAAACACCTTATCTTCGTCCGGTGCAATGGAATTGAGTAGTTCAATGAGGTCACCGACGAGGTGGAGAGTGGTGAACTTGGTGCGGTCGTTAAGGGGTGCCCCCGTGGTGTCGCCGTAGCCGCGGAGGTCCGGAGCCACTGCTCGGTAGCCGTGAGCGGCAAAGTAGAGGATCTGGTGGCGCCATGAGTACCAGAGTTCAGGGAAGCCGTGGAGGAATAGGATTAATGGACCTTGACCCAGTTCAGCGATGTGCATGTTTAGACCATTTACGGCAACCATCTTGTGCTGGATCTTCTCCATCCCTCAATCTCTCTCTACTCTCTCTCACTAGTCTACTGTGTGAAAGCCCTGCTGGTCAATTTCAGTTTGCCGTGGTGACGGAGGAGGATGGCTTTGGATGAGTTTTATAGGGTGCGTATTTGTTTGTTCTACCATTACATTTGTTGATATTGATAAATAGTATCATACCAAACCTGGTATTAAACACTTATCCAATGTCGTGTTTATTTTTATATAAATAGATTAAATGGGATTTACCAAAAAAATAAATGTCAGCCAACATATTCTATGCTAAATTTTTTTAAAAGTAGTCTTATGTATTTCAAATTTGAAACCTAAATTTGTATCTTAAATCAAGGAGAATCATTAGATCAGTGTGTTTCATCAATTTTTTTAAATGGAATCCATTGATCCAATCATCTTTTTAATTTGAGATACAAATTTAGATTATAAATTTGAGATACATATCATTACTCAAACTTTAAACCTTATTGCAATCCCGTGGACAATGTATGGCATTAGTGTTTCCAACTCCATTTCTTTTAAAATAGCACCCTCGCGATGCGCATGCCATCCAATTTCTATAAAATATATATGAAATTTAACACTTTCTTCGAAGCAAACAAGGACTTGGGCCCTCCAAATCCCTACACATAAAGGTTAGAATTTAAAAAACCCTATACTTGATCAAGAAACTCAGAAAACCAAAAGCGACCATTAATCAAATCCAAAAGGAACAAAAGACAGATCGATCACCTTCACCCATACCTTCTATCAATGCTACCAACAATCTAACAAGACAAAGAGTCGGAAAGAATTTGGCATATCATTTTGGGGAATTATTTGCAGAATTCTTTAATTTGCATTGTCAACATTAGTGCAATTTACTGTGTTTTTCCTACTTAGGAGCTGCTGAATAAGTCTTAGGCTTACTGAATCTAAATTTGTTTTTTGTTTGAACTAGTCTTCAAGAGAGTATCTCTCTTCCAGGTCTTTAGGCATGTTGGTGTTTCTTTGGTATAATATTCTCAACAAACTCTGTTTTGTTGAGAAAGTTTAGGAACTATTTTCTATAAATTAAGTTATGAACTGGATAGTTTTACATACCAGTTTTCTTCTTGAGTAATAAAATTCTGCAACTTCTCTTCTTTATGTTTTTTTGCTCTGTTTTGTTACATGGTATCACAGCTAGGTTTGAAGGGTTGATTCTTATACTCATAAAGATGAATGGTGCTAATAATATTGCCGTGGAAAAGCTTGTTGGTACCAACTACAACTATTGGAAGCTTTGTATGGAAGCTTTCCTACAAAGACAAGACTTGTGGGATCTTGTCTTTGGTGATGAAACTGTAATTCCAGAGGACACGCCACAAAATGTTGAGTCACGTCGAAAATGGAAGGTGAAGTGTGGTAAAGCTTTATTTGCTCTACGCACCTCTATCAGTAAGGAGTATATTGAACATGTTCGTGATGAGCAATCACCGAAGAAGGTGTGGGAGACACTTGAGAGGTTGTTTACTCAAAAGAACACGGTGCAGCTACAGTTCTTTGAAAATGAACTTGCCGGGATAATCCAAAGTAACCTTGCAATTCCAAAATATTTCTTGAAAGTTAAAACTTTGTGTTCTAAAATTTCAGAGCTGGATCCTACTGAACTTGTGAGTGAGGCACGGGTACGTCGTTATATCATTCGGGGACTACAAAAAGAATTCATGCCGTTCATCTCCTCCATACAAGAATGGGCTAAACAACCTTCTATCATTGAATTGGAGAACTTATTCTCAAATCAGGAAGCCTTGGTGAACCAGATGATCAATAACAAGCCTTCTGTGCAAGTGGAGGAAGTATTATACTCCAGGGATCAAGGTAAAAGAAAATTTTCTGCTAAGTATATTGCAGGTGGTAGTGTGCCTTCAAATGATGAAGGTCAATGAAAGGAAACTTCAAAAACTTGCTATAGGTGTGGAAAGCATGGACATTTTAAGTGTGATTGTCGAGTAAAGGTAATTTACAATCGCAGTGGGAAGCCTAGTCACAGTCAATCTAATTGTCGAATGAATCGTAGTGAAGAAGGTGCAAATGAAGTTTATGAAAGCAATGAGTCTGAATAATTAGATTGGGAGCAGTGCTTAGCCATTAAAACTATTGATCAAGTTGCAAATGTGCACCAGACAAATGCACCACCAGATGTTGTAGCTCTCATCAACTATAATAAAGAGTGGATTGTGGATTTTGACTATTCTCACCATGCAATTGGAAACGTGTCTTTACTCTACAATGTTCGTCCACATGATGGAAAGAAGGCAATTGTTACGGCTGATAATTCTCTCCACCTTGTAGTCGAAGAAGGGCATTTAAATATCAAGAAGAGCAATGCCCATGAGGGAGGCTTTTCACTTATAGATGTCAATCGTGTTCCAGGTTTGAAAAAGAACCTTGCTTCAGTATCTCAAATAGTTGATTCTGAAAAATTTGTCTTATTTGGTCTAGATAGTGTTTTAATTCTTTCAAATGTGAGAAATATTGATGCTGATGTTATGTTTACTAGAAAAAGGAAAGAGTCACTATATGTTTTATCTGCAAGTGATGCTTATGTCGAAAAAATAGGTCAGATTGGTAGTGTAACACTATGGCATGCTCGTTTAGGGCATATTGGCTATCAACTGTTGCACAAGATCTCTACAAAGAGATTGCTGGATGGAGTTCCTCTCTTTAAAGAGATGCACTCTGATGTGGTTTGTCCAAGATGTCAGTATAGGAAATCTCACCGTCTTCCATTTCCAAGTTCTATGACTAGAACTTGCACTTGAGCTAGTTCATTCAGATTTAATGGGACCAACAAGAACTCCTAGTTACACAGGTTGTCGATATGTGATGGTATTTGTAGATGATTTCACTCGTTTTACGTGGATATAATTTTTGGCAGATAAAAACAAAGTTTTTTCCAAAGTTTATTCAATTCAAGGAGGAGATTGAGAAAGAGTTTGAATCATCGCTAAAATGTCTACGTACTAACAATGGTGGAGAATACATGTCCAACCAATTTTCAGAATATTGCAGAGAGCATGGAATTCAACATCAATTTACCTGCCCTGAAGCCCCTACAGCAAAATGGGGTAGCAAAGCGTAAGTTGGCACACCTAACAATTATGTGCTTGTCATGGATGCATGAAAAAAATCTTCCAAGGGAGTTGTGGGCAGTAGGTGTTCAGTCAGCATGTCATGTGATTAACTGTTTACCACCATGGCCAGGAACTAAAATATCTCCTTTTGAAGCACTGTACCAACGCAAACCCAATGTGAGTTATTTATGGGTCTTTGGTTCTATTTGTTATGTCCACATTGTAAAAACCAATAGAACTAAACTTGACCCAAGAGCAAAGCGTTGTATTTTTGTTGGATATGATACTCACATGAAAGGGTGGAGATGTATAGATCCAGACACAAAGAAGGTTGGTGTCTCTCGAGATGTGGTTTTTGATGAAGTCTCACCATATCAGGAGCATGCAAATACTAACTGCGCCTCTACTAGTCTTAGTTCATTGTTTGGTGATGCTAGTGTCAATGAAACGGAAGAAAATCTGCCTCTATCTGAAGTAAACATATAGCAGGATGATAGTATGGAACCAGTGACTCGCAAGACATCTAGACATAGAAGACAACCTGAATATCTGGCTGACTATGAGGTACAATTAAACCATTGTTTAGTTATGTCTTGTTTTCTTTTAGGAGATGCCTATGGAAATGAGCCCAAATCCTTCAATGAAGCTAAGGACAATGTTGAATGGAGAGAAGTAATGGAAGGAAAAATTACAGCCTTACACAAAAATGGCACTTGGGAGCTTGTTCCAAAGCCAAAAGATGTGGAACTAATTACGTGCAAATGGGTTTATAAGCCAAAAAAAAGGTTGGATGGTTCCATTGACAAGTACAAAACTCGTCTCGTTGCTCGTGGTTTCTCGCAAAAGTATGAGTTGGATTATGAAGACACTTTCAGTCCTGTTGCTAAGATGGTAACCATTTGTACATTCATTTCTTTGGCTGCACATGAAGGTTGGAATGTGAAAACCCGAGTAAATTTGAATTTTTTCGAAAAAAGGGTAAAACGGTAATTTATCATAATAATGTGGGTTTAAAATTACTATTTTTCTAAAGCTCGGATTGAAACGGACTTCACCATTAGAATCCTATCGCGAAATCGAGCTGTCATGTCAATTTTCGTCTAATTCTGAAATAGTCAGATTTTACACATTTTTTTGAGATAAATGAATGACGAATGACCTTACAAAGGTCCCCAATAACGGAATTTATAAAATTTTCTTATAATTAGATAAAATTTTAAATAAAATTAATTTGAATTAAAGTCGAAAATTAATTAAGTTGTTTCGGATTAAAAACAAACCCGGAAGTAATAAACATGCGGGGTAATGTGGACCGCTCAATTAAAAATATAAATTAGAGTTAAATATCTGAAAAATCAGATATTTTCACCCCAAGTCAGCACACTCACACGTTGGAAAAGAAGAGAAGGGAGAGAAGAGAAAAGTAAAAAATTATACATTTCTTTTTGCGATCCAAGGATTTTCGTCGGTCGAAATTCATCGAATCAAGAATTAAAGTTGGTATACGCGACGAGGGCTATGTGTACATACCAAGAACGAGAAATTTCACCAAAAATCTGAAGTAGAATTTTGAGAAATCAAGGTTTTTTTTGGGGCTAGGGAGGTGCCTAGAAGCTTTCTACCTTTCGTATCACGCTCCAAGAAATAGGGTTCCCTCCTACTTTGGTTTATTTCTAACCTAAGGTGTTTATATGAAATGATTAGATGTTGAGAATTAATTATGACTTGCCTATAGTAATGAAAAAAAAAAGGGTATAGAATTGGTTTAAACCAATTTCTAGTTTGATTTTGATATGTGGAAGTATATATGTAAACTCTTGAAAATTGGGTTTATGTGGGCATGTTATGTGTTTATATTGTGCCATGTGATTTAAATGTGTTATTGACATAAATATTGTGGTAACATGTTTATGAATTGTGATGGATTTTGGTAATTATATGTTTATGATATAAATTGTCATGACATATGTTGAAATATGTGTGGAACATGTGGACATATAGTTTAATTGCTCATTTGACATTATATCATAATGGGCATGGTGTTGCCATCACATTCATGGATTGTATGCATGAGTATGGGTGTGTGGGTGCATAGTTTAATCAAACACCATACTTGGTGCTTGATGGGTGGGCTCAAAAAAGTTGAATTGAAGATCCGACTGAGATGTATGGTTACATTCATGAAAAACTTGTGTCGGGTATAACAAGAAGGGATAGATCCCCCCTCGGGTGCAAGTCCAAAAAAGGTGTATTGGTGTGCGGAGCCAGTGGTGCAACACCAAAAGTCCGTTACCCAAACAAAGACACATGATTTTGTTATATAAATGTTCAATTGATGGGAAACATCCAACAATGAAATGGTTTTCAAAACACATGAATTGTATTTCAAAAGATCATTGGATGTGTTTCACCAATGGCGGATTTAGGATACACGTGCATCGCATTGTGTTTTGAGAGTCGGTGTTGACTCGGGTTAGGGTGCATGAGTGAGTATTATCTCATTTCATGACATGACATATGTTTTTTTTAACTTGGAATTACATGTTCTTGTTGGAATGGGAAATGTTGGTTAAATGTTGCACATAAACATTGCATATGCATCTAGGGAGGGAGTAACCTCTGTAAGAAATATTCTACTGGGCGTTGGCTCACCCTATACAGGAACACATTTCAGGTGCGGGGTTTACACTGGCGGAGGACTCTCATTTGGGGCATCAAAGATGAAGAAAAGTTGACTTGTGTTTTGTAATACATTTTGTATAAACTTTGTAACATTTCGGTGTTGAGTATGAAATCGTGTGAATGGATTGTAATATAACTTGTAGAATACTCAGACATATTAAATGCACTATTTTCCTTGGATTAATGTACAAGCACAAGACAACATTTGTATTGAGTGGTTTTGTAGATACAGATTGGGCTGGTGATGTAAATGACAGGCGCTCTACAACTGGGTATTGTTTTTCTACAGGATCAGCAACAGTTTCGTGGTGAAGTAAAAAACAAACAATTGTTGCTCTGTCAAGCTGAATACACAACATCAACTATGGCTACTCAGGAACGAATCTGGCTCGAACGACTTCTTTAACAATTGGTCTTCAATGCTCACTATCCGGTTCCTATTTGGTGTGACAATGAAAGTGCTATCAAGTTTGCTGAAAATCCGATGTTCCATGCTCGAACAAAACATATTGAAACTCATTATCATTTTGTTCGTGAGAAAGTGTTATCTCAAGAGATTGTGCTGCAGAAAGTTCGAACAGAAAATCAAATTACTAATATCTTTACTAAAGCTCTTGCATAAGCTAAGTTTGAAGTTTTCCCCGGTGCTCTTGGAATAGTAAGTTTGCACTAAGGGGGAGTGTCAACATTAGTGCAACTTTATGTGTTTTCCCTATTAGGAGCTAGTGCTCTTGGAGTAGTAAGTTTGCAATAAGGGGGAGTGTCAACAATAGTGCAACTTACTGTGTTTTCCCTATTAGGAGTTGCTGAATAACTCTTAGGTTTATTGAGTCTAAGTTTGTTATTTGTTCGAACTAGTCTTCAAGAGAGTATCTCTCTTCCAAGTCTTTAGGCATGTTGGTGTTTCTTTGGCATAATATTCTCAACACACTGTTTTGTTGAGAAAGCTTAAGAACTGTTTTCTATAAATTAAGTTGTGTACTAGCCGGTTTTACAGATCAGTTTACTTCTTGAGTAATATAATTCTGCAACTTCTATTCTTTCTGTTTTTTTGCTCTGTTTTGTTACATGCATACAAATCAAATCGAATCGATTCACAAAATTGGGCATAGAGAGAGAGAGAACCTGGAATCTGGAAATATAGTAGTCATCGCCATAGACAGCACGCAGTGTTTCAATGGGTTTTCTCTGGGGACTTCTGGGAGTGAACACAAAGCTCATGTTCACCAAACCTTTGACTTTGTGAGGTCTGTACAGAACCAGTGCCCAAGCTATGAGTGCACCCCAGTCATGAGCCACCACGAACACCATGTCCTGGTCCTGGGCTGCAGCGTCGATGAGCGCAACGATGTCAGCCACCACGTGAAGTGTGGAGAACTTGGTGGCGTCGTTGGTGGGTTCACTTGTGGTGTCGCTGTTACCGCGGAGGTCCGGAGCCACCTCTTGGAAGCCTTGCGTCGCCATGTTGACCATTTGGTGGCGCCATGTGTACCAGAGTTCAGGAAAGCAGTGGAGGAAGAGGACTACCGGGCCTCGCCCCAGTTCTGCTACGTGCATGTTAACGCCATTCACGCTTCGCCTTTCTCACTTAATTATTTAAATTTTTGTAACATTTGAAAATTTATATCCAAACTCTTTAAATTTATATGTGTATAATATTTAAATAAAAACTATCCAATCAAATATAAAATATAATTAAAATTCATGTTCTATTATGTCATTTATTGAAATAAAATTAAAAATAAAAATTTAATTTTTTCTTAACAAAAATATAATTAGTATACAATTATACTAATTATTAAAATAAATTAAAAAACTAAATAAATGGTCAAACTATAATTGACACAATATTTCAAATCTTTAATTTGGGTAATTTTATCATTTAATAGATTTTATTAGTTCTATAGCTAATAAACAGTTTAAATATAATATTTTAAATTTGATGAATTTAAGTATTACACACCTATAAATTTTAGATATTTAAATATAATTTATTAGCGAATATACTAACAGATATTGACGACAAGATCTAAATGTTATGTGCATACAAATTTCAGGGTATCTGTGTATAATATTTCAAATATCAATAAATTTAAGTTATTAAATGATAAATCTTAAAGGGTCAGAATATAATTATCTTTAACATTTATTTTTAAAAGAAAAAAATCACTATAAAGCTATTCGTTCTTAAATTGTACTTTATTATTATATAATTTTTTAAGACATCGATTATTGTACATAATTTTTCAAAGAAATTGATAGTCTTCATCTGTCAATTCAAATCTAAATAATTATAACTCTATTGCTAAATGTTAGTCAAAAAAAAATAAAATAAAATAACATAACCCTATTTATAGTGCTAAAAAAATATAAAATAGATCGCAAAAACTGTCGAAAGAAAAAAAATCTAGCGGCGCCATGAGTACAAGAGTTCAGGGAAGCCGTGGAGGAATAGGACTAATAGGCCATTAACAGCAACCATCTTTGTGCTGGATCTTCTCCATCTCTCAATCTCTCTCAACTTTCTCTCACTAGCCTGCTGTATGAAAAGGCCTTCTGTTCAATTTTAGTTGTTGGTGGTGGTGGTGGAGGTGGAGGAGGAGGAGGAGGAGGCTTTGGTTGACTTTTATATTGTAATTTTGTTTGTCGGATAAATTTGTTGATATTGACAAATAATGTTAATATTAAATCTATGGGAGAATTACATCCAGACTTCACGAGATTCGTCACTTAATCACTTAAATTCTTTGATATTTAAAATATTGCATACAGACCTCTTAATTTTGTACACACGTAGCATTTAGACCCTTGTTGTAAATATATCCGTTAATTACACTTAGATCTCATAAAATTTGTAGGTATATAATATTTAGACCCCTTAAGTTTAAAATATTGTACTTAGACAAAAAATACTCCAATCAAATATAGAATATCAAATATTTTAAATTTTACAACTAAAATTCATGTTCTATAATAATATTTATTGAAATAAAATTAAAAATTTAATTTTTTCTTAAAAAATCTTAATTAATATACAATTATACTATCTATTAGAATAAAACTTAAAAATCAAATAAGGGCTCTAAATCATTTATAATAAAACATAAATGTTACATCCAAAATTCATGTTTTATTATGTCATTTATTGAAATAAAATCAAAAATAAAAGTTTAGCTTTTAAAAAAAATCATAGTTACCATATAATTATATTATCTATTAGAATAAAATTAAAAAAATTAAAAAGGGGTTAAACTATAATTGACACAAAATCTTTTAACTTTAATTGAGGTAATTTGGTATTTTAATTTGATCGTTTAAATGACTAAATTAAATTCTAATAGATAATATAATTGTATAATAATTACAATTTTTTAAGAAAACAAATGAATTTTTATTTTTGATTTTATTTCAATAAATGATACAATATAACATAAATTTTGGTTGTAAAATTTAAAATATTTGATATTTTATCTTTGTTTGCAGTATTTTTTATCTAAGTATAATATTTTAAACATAAGGGGTCTAAGTATTATATACCTACAAATTTCATGGGGGTCTAAGTATAATTTATTAATTGATATATTTATAGTAGGGTCTAAGTTTTACACGTGTACAAACTTTAAGAGATCTGTATGTAATATTTTAAATATCAAGAAACCTGAATAATTAAGTAACAAACTTTAGGAGTGTTACACAACTATCCAATATAGCAATACCATATCTTGTTTAGTTTTATATAAATAGATTAAGTGAGACATACCAAAAAACATAAATATCAGGTGACATATTTTATGTAACAAAAACTATTAACCTTATCGCAATCCAATGGACCACAGATAAAGGGGTATTATAGTAGTTGTATAGTTTATAACGTCGATGGGACTAATATCGATTTATTATACCACTTATTAGGTTCTATTTAATATACTTATGTACATGAGTATATTATAACTGTAATAACTGGGTCAAAATTTGGACTTGAAAAATATTACTAAACATAAATTGCACAACAAACAACGTATAAGTGAGTCTTATGTATTCCACCTTCGAATACTCCAGTTATCCAACAAATAAACACACCTTAAAGTTAAAGAAGTGTAAATTTCTCCTAATGTTTAATTATTTCAATTTATTTCTTTATCTATCAATTTCATGTCAATTAAATTTTTCTATCAAATTTTCAAAAAAATAAATAGAAACAAATCACATGTTTATTGTGTGGCCCTACATCCATTTGTTCTAACGACTAAAATTGACGGAATAATTTAATTGAGACGAAATTAATAATTGTTGAATTAATTTGAGATAATTAACATTTTAGATATCATATTAAAATTGGAGAAAAAAATTAAAAAATAAGTATGACATGACATATACCCTATCAATAAGAAGTTGCTTGTTTACCTGACGATTATAAATTAGTTATGCTTAGCATAACAAGTCTTCGAATCGAACAAGATCCATTACCAAATCAACGAAAATAATGCATTAGATACTCAAATTAAGTCTCCGAAAATAAGGAAACGTAGTATTATTGTTTGTGTACATGAGTATATGTCTTTACTAGTGCACTGCACAATACTGTAATTCATACCACATCTCACATGCTTTCATCCCAGGACACAACAGATATTGTTTTAGCATAAAAGTTTCCAACACACATTAGACAGAGGTATATGACTAATAAACTTTATGACATACAGCATGAAGTGTTAGAGAACTTCCGGATGAAGTCGAAAATGTGTTTGTTGACCTCATCAGGCTTTTCTTCTTGGATAAAATGAGCTACGCCTTCCATTACAACCACTTCCTGCAGAAAAGGCACATCTCTCTTGAACCCAACCTTGTGTATATAGTCCTTGGTGCCAGGGGCATTATAGGTGAGGTCGAGGTCGCCAACAATAAACTTAACTGGTACTTTTACTTGGGCTCCAGTCCATGCTGCAGTGAGTTCCCAGTTTCTGCGATTAAGATCCGAAATATTAAATTTAAGAGTAATGCTATTTGAACCTAAAAATTTGATATAATTTATTGACCTAATGATGTGGTTTAATGAGTAATGCTATTTGAACTTAAAAATCTGACATAATTTACTGACATAATGATGCGATTTAATAGGAATCACTGGATCAATACTAAGTTCCAATATTTAATGGGGGCCTACAGCCAATCCAAAGATCGCAGTGAATTAAGTCAGCAAATTAGGTCAGATTTTTAGGTCCCGACAGCATTGCTCGTGGTTTAATAGGAATCATTGGATCAACATCAACTTCCAATGTTTTATTGGACTTACAGCCAATCCAAAGGTCACAGTTAATTAAGTCAGTAAATTAGGTCAAATTTTTAGGTCCCAACACCATTGCTCTAAACTTAAACAAAAAAGAAGGTAGGAATATGTTTTTTTCAACAGGAGTTTCATAAAGAGTGGCGTGACAATAGTGTTTTTATGAATATCATGTAATTGTTTGGTTTAAACAATAAACACGACAGAGCCTCTAAAGTAAGCATAGTTGTCCCTCAGCCAATTCACGACATGTGACGACCAATATATAAAATAATCACTAAAATGCTAATTAGATCATTAATCATGATTATATATACTTAAGATTTATTTTTTTAGAAACAAATAGACCTCAAATATAAACTCTTCACGCGAAAATAAGTCAAATGACTATAATTTAGGTCAAATTTCGTAATTATATAATGAATGAACATATAAATATTGCACGAGATAATTCCTGCAATAATTTGAGATAGCAACCTTCGGCCTGGTAAACCTGAAACAATCACAGGGTCAGAAAAGGGGGCCAGATGAACACCCGTCTTATCCCCTCCGAAACTTAAATCAGTCTAAGATCAAGGATTTTAACTCAATGAATAATCTTTTTCTGGTTCGAGTTTACGTCTCTTTGTTTATTTTTCTGAGGAGTATTTATACCTGAGTTAACAATAATTGTCAAAAACCTCTAGTCCCATATAAACATTTAACATCTGACACACTATCCCTCGCGCAATGAGTGTTCTCCACTCACGTCTCTTCCTACTAAATGCTAAGATGATGGGATGAGTGCTCGGCTAAATGCCGAACATTTATGCCCTTCCCCCCCCCCCCCCCCGAGTATCCAAATCCCTTTGATCAACATCTGACATCTACTGAACATTGAATACTCGCGGGGAACAGTTCTTTGGGGAGAGTCAATCGTATCATCTCGGCGCATCAGTCATTAATGTCTAACCATCATGATAGTAAGCCTAGACTCCTAGAGTGCAGGTGTTTGCAGGCGCGCATTTATTTCTCTTGTCACCATCACTCATTCCACCATAAATGAGGGGTCACATCGTATTAAATACGATGTCAGTTGTCATACTCGGCCCCTCCGGGTCACCATACCTCAGCTTACCTGCTCGGCGCCTTTTGGACATCACAACGGCTTCATTACTCCACATGTCAATCTGGGGGCTGTAGAGCCACCTAAAGTTCTGCCAAATATCTGTGTATGTGTGTGTGTGTGTGTGTGTGTGTGTGTGTGAAAGGACAAAAGTCATGTGCTAGATTTGCAAAGATTTTCTAAATTTGCAAAGATTTTGAAAACGTGCATTAAGAAAAGGAAAGAAAAGGGAGATGCTTGGAGACCAAGCAAATATTGGCTATAAATAGTCAAGCCCAAGCCTTGATTGGCACAAAGAGAAGGAAAAAGAGAGAGAAGGGAAAAGAAGAAGGAAAGAGAGAGATAGATGGGATAGAAGAAAAAAAAATTTATGAGATTTTTGGGTCAAAAATTGAACAGTAATTTTATTTTAGATTGTTATCAAATTTGACTATCTGATTCGGGATATTTCCAATTTCGCATCTATTGAAATAATTGACGGATTTGAGGTACAGGATAGTATACAATATGCTTCTGTCTTTTAAATTTTTTTGCAAAGAGTGTCCTTTCATTATCTGAAATTTTATATTTCTATTGATTATTCTGATTTTTATGAAATTCTGTCAATGTTATCAGTTGACCTGTACGTGTACGTTGGGCTAAATACTTTAGGATTGATTGGTACATGTACGAAGTTTACTTGGGGGCATAATTAGTGAAATATGATTATGGCCCTGTGGGGGTGTGATTGTGATTACAATCCTGAGGGGTGTAATGATTCGATGTAAGTATGAATTTTAAATACCTAGGTGTCACTTGTCATGTCACAAAGAGGACCTGAGTATGAGACTAGATTTGATAGATATTGAACTATGTAACTTATCGAATTGGATTCTTAATTCTTTTATCTATGATTGTCTATCGATTGAATTATTTGATATTTGATCATTCATATTATTTTCTCGTTGAACATATTGTTTCATGTCATATTATATACTTCACCGCTTTTAATAGTTTTCAAGAGTATCTCGGAAAGAAGAACCAGAGTTGATATTTGAAGAATCGAAGACAGACGAATGTGGATAAAATTTTTAACTTTATGGGTTTATTGGGGTGATTGTATAATTTGAACAAATTCGTTTTTATATTGAGGAGATTATTTTATTGGTATTTGGAGATCAAAAATTGTAATTATAAATTTATTGAGGCAATTAAAGCTCTGGTCCTATACTCGAAAAATTATTTGTGATTTATTATCGATCAATTGATTTAATCTAGTAATGCAACCTGAAAACCGGGGCGTTACACAGCCTCGTTGCACAGAAAGAGCACTAAACGAGCTGTATTAAAAGAAGGTGAACTTAGAACATTGTTCCCATTTCCTCACTGTTTAGCTCATGATGAAGCTATACTAAACTCAGAATCAATGAAGGGTGGAAGCCAACTTACAAGTTCAAGGCCCGGTAGTAATTCAATCCTCCAGTGAAGCCACTTTGCTCATATTTGCTTGTGTAATAATCAACATCTTCCTCTGACAACCAAGGTGGTAAAACAATTGGAGTATCAGGTGAATCTCCGAATCCTTTACCCTTTGGTAAATAAAGTGGACCAGGGCTTCGGTATGTTAAGAAATTCTTCAGAACCCTTTTAGTCCCCATTTGGGCAAACTCAGCTTCTATTTCTCCAGGTTCCTAGGACATTATCGAGCAAACAATGTATCAGATGGTTCTTTTACATCACTCATGCATCCTACTGTGGTCAATCACAACCAAGTCAAGTAGAAACTGTCATTGTTCCTGTGGTAAAAATGGATGTCACTTACAAGGAACAAGTCAGGGTCTTACACCGATAAAAATTTGTGCGAGAGCCATGGATTGTGTTATTTTTATCAAGACTCTTTTAGTTACGTGTCCTTGATTGTACACAAATGAAACTAATAATATAGTTAGAATCGCTCCAAGGACAACGTTGTGTGCTTCCTTGATGAAATGTAAGACACAGTCAGATGGTCAATTTCAACCAGGGCACCGATTGTTTATAGTTTCTGTTAAGATGAAAAAGATAGTAATATGCACATCAATGAAAGAACTTAACACGTGAAAATCGTCTAGACATGTAGGGATCTTAATGTATCTCAATCACCGAATTATATTGATTCCTCTATGAACATGTCCAAGAACATTAGAAAATGAAAGTATAAAAGAGAGTACAGGAAACTAAATACACGACGTTAACCACGTATAATACAGTGTCTTGTAGATGAAATGATTCCTTGATTATTTAAGAATAAACTCGTCAGCAAAGGCCGGGAATCAATTTAGTATAGATGGGTCTGCTGGAGCTGGTGAACCATCGCAATAGTGGTGGATGGGAAGTAACATGACCATCTTTTGGTATGTCATAGAGGTTAGGGATCAACTTGCTCTTATGACAGAAAAGGTGGAGTTGATAAGTCATCACAATATACACAGAAAAAGCAAATGTGTCACAGGAGAGATTGGGCAGATGGAACGTTGGTATGGTTGTAGCGAAGGTAACACAACAATGATCCGAATGGATCGAAGATTAGGGTGTTTAGGGTCTCAAGACATATTATAGAATCATTTCATAAATTACACCAAATTAATGGATCCTTAAACCTTGGTATCCCCTCCCCTCTTCTCCTCCCCCAACCCCAAAATCCATCACTGAGATTGATGGCGTTAGTGTTTCCAACTCCATTTCTTTTAAAATAGCACCCTCGCGATGCACATGCCATCCAATTTCTATAAAATATATATGAAATTTAACACTTTCTTTGAAGCAAACAAGGAATTGGGCCCTCGAAATCCCTCCACATGAAGGTTAGCAACCATTAACCAAATCCAAAAGGAAAAAAGACAGATCGATCACCCATACCTTCTATGAATGCTTCCAACAATCAAACAAGGCAAAGAGTCCGACACAATTTGGCAGCCCATTTTGGGGAATTATTTGCAGAATTCTTTAATTTGCAAACAGATCAAATCGAATTGATTCACAAAATTGGACATATATATATATATATATAGAGAGAGAGAGAGAGAGAGAAAGAACCTGGAATCTGGAAATATAGTAGTCATCGCCATAGACAGCTCGCAGTGTTTCAATGGGTTTTCTCTGGGGACTTCTGGGAGTGAACACAACGCTCATGTTCACCAAACCTTTGACTTTGTCAGGTCTGTACAGAACCAGAGCCCAAGCTATGAGTGCACCCCAGTCATGAGCCACCACGAACACCTTGTCCTGGTCCGGGGCTGCAGCGTCGATGAGCGCAACGATGTCACCCACCACGTGGAGTGTGGTGAACTTGGTGGCGTCGTTGGTGGGTGCACCTGTGGTGTCGCCGTAACCTCGGAGGTCCGGAGCCACCGCTCGGTAGCCTTGCGCCGCCATGTAGACCATTTGGTGGCGCCATGTGTACCAGAGTTCAGGAAAGCCGTGGAGGAAGAGGACCACTGGGCCTCGCCCCAGTTCTGCAACGTGCATGTTAATGCCATTCACACTTACTGATCTGTGCTCTATTCCCTCCATCTCTCTCTCTCTCTCTCTCTATTCGTTTTGGTGAGTTGCAGGAAGTTGCTGGGGAGTAAATATTCAGTGCTGACAAGGGGAGGAGCCAGGTTTCTCCCACAGTGGGGCCAACGTAAAACTCAAATGTTAACATTTAGGGAGAATTACTGTTACAACTACACTCCTGTCATTTAATCATTTCAAATTGTTTAACATTTCAACTATTACACGTAGTTTTGATCAAAAAAAATATATTACACATAGTTTTTACACGACTCTACAGTGATTATATTCAATAGTAAATGACAATTAGACCCCTTAAAATTTGTATGTGTAAAATTTAGACTTATCGAGTTTAAAATAATATACTTAAATAAAAAATATTCTAATCAAGGATAACATATCAAACATTTTAAATTTTATCACCAAAATTTATGTTCTATTATTTCATTTATTGAAATAAAATTAAAATTAAAAATTCAATTTTTTTAAAAAAAAATCAAAATTATTATATAATTATACTATTTATTAAAAAAAATTAAAAAATTAAACAGTGGATCAAACATAATGGACATAATATTTCTTATCTTTAATTAGAGTAATTTAATTGTTTGATAGATTTCGTTAGTTCTATAACTAATAAGAGGTTTAAGTATAATATTTTAAATTTAAAGGGTATAAATATTATACGCCTACATGTTTTAGAGATTTAAATATAATTTATTAACGGATATACTAACCTGACAACAAAGTCGAAGTGCCCTATGCGAACAAACGCCAAGGGTTATGTTTGTAATATTTTAAATATTAGGAAATCTAAGTGATTGATTAACAAATTTCAAAGGATCTGAATATAATTCTCCCTAATATTTATTTTAAAAGAACCATGTAAAAATTTAAAAAAAAATCACTATCAAACTATTCATAAATGCCAATTAAAATCATACGATTAAACTCATTTCTTAAATTGAACTTTCATTATCATCTAATTTTCTAAGAAGTCGATCATTTTACTTATTATTTTAAAGAGATTGATACACGATCGGAGTCTTCATCTTTCAATTCAAATTCTAATGATTATAGCTTTATTGCCAATTGTTGACCAAAAAATTTAAGAAGTAATAATTATATAACCCTAATTATACTGCTTAGAAAATCAAAAAAATTTTAAAAACTATCGAAATCAATAAAATCGTTTATACGTTATCTCTCACAATAACTTTGAAAGAATTTCTCATTTTCTTTAAAGTTATCCACTCAATGTACTAGATAAAACACTAATAGAATTCAAAATTGAATCGAAAAAAGATTAAAGAGAGAATATAGAAGAGAGAGAACAAAGAGTAAGAGAATACTGAAAGAGAAAATTTTTGAAAAGAATAATATTTACAATCGTGTATAATTACGTTTATATCTTATTGAGTTTGCACTATTATCAATTATGTTTAATAATAATGTGTTACGTTTATCTAAATTCATGTCAAATAATTTATTAGGGAGATTTAATGGGTCCATTAATTATCACTCAAATCTATTAAAGTTAAACTTCTTTAATTCTAACTTAATTTTGTGACATATACTTCATTAAAATTATCCAAATAAGAAAAATTGGATGTAACTGGCTGGCCTATAGAGATTGAGTGGGACCCAAAATAAATGCATAGCTGTTGAAATTTTAATTAAATGTTTGTTTCATTTTTTATTTTTTATTTTTAAAAACAATACAAACCGCTTACTCTAAAGACCGGTGAAGTTACTTGTTTCATTTGGAATCATTGAATCTAAGGAGATATACGGTTATAATCTATGCAGTCGCCAAATACATCATAGAGGCCGACACATGGACCCCACTCAAACTGCAAGTCTATTAAATTTGTAGAAATCCCACATTTAAAATACATAAATATCCTTAAATCTTTTATAATATTTGAATAGGGTAAGATCCTAAAATTTTGAAAATGCTAAATACATACCAATTTTTTTTTCAAAATTGCAGTGGAGCCAGTTACCCCCACTATGGTAACGGTGGTAATCCGTGAGTCACCATCCACTGATAATATAATTATTAAATAAAAATTATTTTTAATCAAATAATCATAATTTATTAAATCTTCAGATTAAATCTCAAAATTATATTCACAACAATTTTCAATTAATACAATTCTCGCTTATATATCCTTCCATTTTACTTCATGACAAAAAATCAATCAAATTGATCAAAAAAAGATCAATCAAGAAAAAATTACAAAACAATGTACTCAAAGTGATCTTAATTTTGTCAAAATTTAAGGTTGAATATGACTTCAAGTAATTTACCCAATTAACATATTAGATTGGATTGCATCAACGTCTATGTGGGTATCACCTACATCACATAAAACGAGAGCAAGAACGGGAATTCAGAAACGTCTATATGCAAAAAGAGCTCGACTCTCCATAAGGAATAGTGACTTTGTAGATTGAAAAAGAATTTAGGCCAAAGTTCAAATAGTGAGCTTGACTCTCCTTAACGATTGGTGGTGGAGACTTAGAAAGTGAGAAAAGAATTGGATCCATTTCATAACACATGTATTGCGATGGCCTAATAAAGACGAAGGAAGAAAGGTTAATCGGGCGAATGAGGCAGAAAGGGGATGGGCAGGATGCTATCTTATCTTTAAACGTGTCCCCGTCCACTTCTCTCTCTCTCTTACACATACACATGCAATCACACTCTTTTTGAGAAAAGATTTATTTGAAAGATTATCCAGAATATTTTAATTAATGGTAGGCCTACTCTTGAATAAAAGTGAAAGAAAATTTGGATCCTATGTTTTACCTTGTAGCAATGCTTAACCAACAAGATAAAGATCTTACTAAAATGTATCACAAGCTTGTCCAAAGATAGGTAAGAAAAGTGAAATACTTGAGAGGGCATACACCAAGGGAATGTGGGGTATGAAAATGCCTTTCTTTTGACATAAAGCTACATATAATGAGGTGACTAAAAAGTTTTTTTTTTTTTTTTTTTATATTTTACCGACATTATAAGTTTTATATATATTTTTTATTAAATTTAAGGATCATTTATAATTTTTTAGAGTTATTTATAAGTTTTAGGGACCCTTTATCACTTTTATGATTCAATTTATAATTTTTGTAGATTATTTAAAACTTTTAACGTTATTTGTGATGGATCTAAACAATATAATCCTTAAAAGTTAAAAAATGACACATCAAAACTATAAAGTAACCCTAAAAGTTGTTAGTATTTTCTGTCCTAGACAAATCAAAAACTAGTATCTTAACCCACAAAAATTATAAAATTTAAAGGTACTGTAACGATTTTTTTTTATACCATAGTCGTTGTTAAGGTGTCAAACGAGTCTCACATAAGATGACAATAAAGGGGTCCTCGGACATATAAGAGAGCATATCACTTCACCTACTAGGTGCATTTGTTTGAAACTCATGCCCAAATAAATGATATCAGAGTAATTGCCCAAACTACCATGTGGACTTGACTTCTTGTGCAGGATGAAAGAATAGAGATAGTCATCTATTGTAAGCCTCTCGTTCGAGAGGAGTATTGTTAAGGTGTCAAACAAGTTCCATATTGGATAGTGATAAGGAGGTCTTGGGCCATATAAGGGAGCAAATCATTGTACCTACTGAGTTGCCTTTTGGATTGGAAATTCATGCCCAACAAGTTCTTTAAGAGCCAAGGCCCTAAGTCATTGTGTGGACTCGGCTTCTTGTACAAAATGAGAGAACAATGATGATCATTCATTATAAGTCTCATTCAAGAAGGGGGTTGTTAAGGTGTCGAACAAGTCCCACGACGAATTATAAAGGGAACGGTCACTTCACAGATTAGGTGTCTTTTGGGCTGAAAACTCATGCTCAACAAGTGATATCAGAGTCATAGTCCCAAGCCACTGTGTGGATTAGGCTCCTTGTGCCGAATGATAGAACAATAATAGTCATTCATTATAAGTCTCATTCGAGAATGAAATTATTGAGGTGTCGAATGAATCTCACATCGGTTAATAATAAAGGAATCCGAGACCAATAAGAAAACGAATCACTCTATCTACTAAGTGTCCCTTTTGAGTTAAAAATCCATGCCTAACAATCTTCTCCTTAAAATGAAGTTGTTCGCAAAAATAAAAAGATATTGGATGGTCTATCAAAAAAATTGCATAACTACTAGCGAAGTTAATGGGACCATAAAATAAACTCAATTTTAGCTCAATTTTATGAACTTAAATATTCTTATATTTGCATTGATTATCATTAAATAAACTCAAGTTAGAGCTGAGTTTGAACGTTGAGCTAAATTTTTTTCTACCTCAGTTTGGTCAAAGATTGCAAGTATTTGAGCTGAAATTGAGAAAGAATTAAACTTAATTTCTCAGCAAAAATTTTTAGAAAATAAACTTACGAAGTTAGTAATAAATCCTAAAATAAATAATTTCTCCATGAAAGCCTCCAAAATATGTATAATTAACTATAAAATAAAATGCTAGAATTCAAGTTTGTAAAAGCATATAAGAAAAGAAAAAGAATATAAAAAATAAACGCAATGAAACTATTTAATGATAAATTTAAAGTTGTTCATCTTTTAGATATGAATTGTTTGATTATAAACTATAATTATTTATGGTTAGGATCTTATTCAAGCCAAACCATACCTACTCGAGCTGAGGGATATATGGCTTGGAATTTACTCATTTAAGAAAAAATTATCTTAAAAATTTGATCAAATTTATATTTTAATTTAAACGAAGATGACAAATCAAAACCAAACTAAGCTGAAACCGAGTCCAAGATGTTATTATCGGGCTTACTCCAATATCACTATTTCTCGTAAGGTAAAGTCCAGTTGCCATCTCTAAGGGCATGTTTGAATGATCCACATGAGAGAAGATTGGATTGATTTCAGGAAACCCTTTCAAACTCAACCTAAAGGATTTTTATACGGGATTCAATTATAAACTCAATCTAATTCAATCCAATCTTTTATTTTTGAAACTCCCTCATAGGTTTCATCAAATCTCTATACTTGGTTTTTAATGCATTATTCATTGCAGTCTGAGACATGAATCCCGAATTTAAAAGTCTTAACCAAACATAAAATTAAATGATATTGTTAAACTATTTTTCTTAAACCCCCTTTTCAAAACCATCCGAATCCGATAAACAACCAGGCCCTAAGACATAGCCCATAGAGAGAAGAGTTTTCTGCAAAGGAGACTTCAGTAGCCAGCTGAAGTACATCCCCAACATCAACAATCTGCCCAGCCTAAGCAGCCCAAATAAGAATTTTCCAAATTCCTAAACCTCAATTTCTATTGAAGCAAGTACAACTACTCTCATTTAAACCCCCCCCCCCCCCCCCTTCTCTTCCACTCTTTCTTCTTCCTTCTCAAACAAAAAAGGGGGGGTTACAACCACTGTCTAAGTTGGTTTACCAAATGACGATGATGTAAAATTGACACAAAATTAATACTTTAATTTGTTGGTTTAATAGAGTTTGGAATTAATCCTTCTAAATACAAAAATAGATTAAAGTAAAGACAATTTACATATAAATGCAATTTTAATTATACAAGACTATACATGAATTGAAAATAATTCAAATAATTATTAACATCAAATAACTTTAGAAGGATACTACAATAGCATAAAATAATTCTACACATGAGTATGTTCTTTACTCAACAACAAAGTTTATCTATTATGATTTGCATATTAAGAATTTTGAATTACAAAAATAACTTCTCTAAATATAAAGTTTACATTTGATCTTAAATTATTAATTTAATTTTTTTTTAATTCTATAGAGAAAAGAATCCCGTATAGTAATTCTAATTTGTTTAATAATATTTTTAATAGTCTTGCCTCAACTCTTTTTAACCTTTAAGGGTAATTGAGTCTAATATTTGATAATTCAAAAATTTTAAATGATATATTTTAACTCAATTCAATCAAAGCCAACAATCATTGAAATGGGAGATTAATCGATACAAATATCAATATCTTATAATAAAGTTAAAAAAATAATATATTTTTCACAAAGAGGGCACAATGAAGCGTGGACTTAAATTATTAGGACCAACAAACCCACCGGGTCACCAAGTCAACAAGTCCATTTCGTTCACCGGAAGAAACTAGAAGGCCAATTCTGTCATTTTAAACAATCCCGCGTTAACCCTGGCGTCTGTTAGATTTCAAGCACTGACAAACTCACAGAACGACAGCGAAACCCTCAAGAACTTTCCCTGTCATCTCATCCTCTCCCACTCTCTGCTCTAACGCGGTGGCCAACGACCTTTCCACCACCATTCCTCCCCCAATATAACCCACCAGCCTCTTCTCTCTCACTCCACCAAGAAGCTCTCTTTCTCTCTCTCTCTCTCTCTCTCTCTCTCTCTAAAATATAAGGATCAAATGGGGGACAATCACAAGATGGAGGAAGTGCCAAGCCCACCAAAGAGCTACTCTCTAGGCGGCAAATTCATGCTAAGCGGGATTGTCATCTTATTCGCCTTCGTGGTCTTCGTGGTGGTCGTACACCTCTACGCTCGGTGGCACATACTCCGGGACCGGCGGCGCCAACTCCTCCACCGACGCAGCCGCGGCCACCGCCGTACCCACATCCTTTTTCACTTCGACAACTCTAATTCCACCGCTACCTCCAACACCATTCGCGGCCTTGAACCGTCCGTACTAAACTCAATCCCAGAGTTTATCTATTCCGCCAAGGCCCACCCGGAAACGCTAGAATGCGCCGTGTGCTTATCGGAATTCGAAGAGAATGAAAAGGGTCGTCTTTTACCAAAATGTCACCATTCTTTTCATATAGGCTGTATTGACATGTGGTTTCACTCTCACTCCACTTGCCCACTTTGCCGGTCACCGGTTGAACCGGTTCAGGTGTCCGAAAACAAACGGTCTGATGATGTGGTGGTTTCAGTGTGTGAGACTGAACCGGGTTCAAGTTCTGGGATGTGCCCCACCTGTCAGAGCGATGAACATAGCGCTTCGACTTCGTTGGAGGATCGGGGGAAAGGTTTGGTGGACACGGTGGGTGTGACGATAGAGGTACCAAGAAGAACTGAGTCAAGGGACGAGTTGGGACTGAGTTCACCTTCGAGTCAGGGGTACAGATCGCCTGGGTCTCGTTTGTTGTCTCTGAAAAGAATGCTCAGTATGAATAAAAAAGCTCCCGATACCAGCACGAGTTGTGCGTCGGTGCGTACTGAGTTGGATATAGAGAGAGGATTAATGAGTTAACTCAGACTTAAACTCGAACACAGACAACAAGGGTGATGTAGATATTCAATGGACAAAGAACAGTCACGCGACGACGACTTGTTAGAACTTAGAACGTTGAAATTTGTCAAAAAAAAAAAAAAAACACGACATTCGGTGAAATGTCGGAGTCTTGAGATTAAGAAGTGGGGTGTTAAGTCGTGTTATTATAAATCGGATTGTTAGCTAATACATATTTTATTTCAACTTTTTTTATTTGAATTGTGATATACAAAACGTATATACTAATGCAGTTGTCAACTCTGATTTGTTTTGTTGATACGAATTCGACATGATTAAAAAATTGACGTAAGTATAATAAATCAGTAATATTATACTGATCAAATTTTGAAACTAAATTTAGAGTCCAAATGATAAGAAAAGAAAATATTAATTACAATGGTGATATCATGTGACCAGGTGATATGATATTATTAATTAATAATAATAAAATAATAAACAGATGGATCCCACAAAAATCAATAACTAAGTTGTTATGTAAGTAAATAACTCTTCACTCTTATGTTCCAAATAAGGTTCATTTTTCCCATTTAGGGTTTTATTATTGGTTGGTGCTATATAATATCATATCATCAATGGTGACATGGTATCACCGTTGCATTCAATATTGACTTGGACTTTTTTATTTGATATTATATTATTTGATTCCCAATAAAAATTCTAAATAATATGCTGTCATGTCATATAGGTTCCAAATTTAATTCCAAAAATTGGTCAACATAACATTACTCATAATAAACTGTCTAGACTAATATATAATACTTAAAACACATTAAATAATTTTTTTTTTCGTGAATTTTGACACAAATATAACACGAATAACACCACATTTGGGTCACGCGAACACAACATGACACCTCTATATACCAAATTCAATTTATTTTAAAAGAAAGTGTGAGACTTTTTTTTTTCACTTCAATTGGGAGTTGGGACTGTTAAGGGGTGAGTTTGAGTGGTATTTAAATTGTGTTATTTTAATGGTTATTTTTATGAGATAAATATAAAAGTCAAAAAACTATATGAGTAACACATTCTTCATTCTTTAAATAAAAAACTTACACGACATTGAATTTTTTTTACGCCAGATCTAGATATAAAAGCTAAAATAAAAATAAAAATTATACATATTATATGATCATATTCATATATAAAATTATAATATATACTACTAATACAAAAAATTAACTGTTGATCATACCTGAAAAATAAGTCGAAGACTGAAAAAACTCTGACCGCTCCCTTCCTAATTGATGAAAAATGCTTATCAGTGCATCCCGAGTTTTCAATTGTGAGGTGGAGGTAAAATTCTTCATACAACATTCGAGTAAAAAGTTAAGGTTAATCAAAATTAAGAAAAACTCTATAATGTTAAACTAATGGTTGAACATTAAAAATATGACAATTACTTACGGGAAGTCGATCAGTGGCCACTGCAATTCATTTTGCTCTGAGAATTGCACCGACGCAAACTCCCAGAATATGCATCTAAGATTGAAATGGAGCAAGTATTACAATTACAATATAAGACTCTTGTGTACAATACAGAAGAATAAACTCTGCATTACCAAACATGTTACAAGCTTCTTGAGCTATAAATAAATCTAACTACTATTAAGTTAAGGAACAATTGCCTATTGTTGTTAGTATCTTTAGAATTACACTGTTCAGATAACCTTCCTTCTTCTCCAAGCCATTCAGCCAGGGAGATGTCAATTCCTCCCAGAAGATATAGCGCGGTACCTTGCAAAGTATTCCGTGTCACCTAATAGAATGCAGGTCCACTGGTTCAACAAATCGGGACCTTCGTCTCCTCTTACCTTCAGGAGTGTGCCTAGCACCACCAAGTTTTCCTAGCTTTACTGAGAAATTGCAGTTCAGTTGTGATGACATTTCTGGTGAGGTAGATCCTGAAGGTGATGAACGAACAACGGGACAATTCTCTTTTCCAGACTTGTTCCTCTCACCTTCAGTATATCCTTTCCTCATAGGAGATTTAGCTCTCTTCTTAGACAATTGAACCAGCACTTCTTCCCGTCTCTTGTCATGCCTAAGAAGCCGGACATAGAAGGGATTTGCAGCCGTGTAACACTTGGACTCAGAATCACTACCAGCCCTTTCCAAATCTACATTTCCGTTGTTCACCTGAGAAAAGATAATCCAAATTTTCAGTTTCACCTAGCAAAGAAGCTGTACCAGATTCTTTTCGGAATTACTTGACCAACAAAACTAGTAGTAAGTTCTACAGATACTTGAAAGAAAATTTATAGAGAATGTTATATGGTAGTTCTGACTAGAAGACATTATTTTTCTGTAACTAGCTTCCTAGCACCCCAATCTCAGTTCTCAGTCACAGGATTACCAATTGCAGAAGTGCAGAAAATGTCCGTGCAATATCATGCTTCTCTTGACCGCAGACATCTGCAAATGACATGGCATTTCCACTGTCTGCTCCCAGTGATAGCCTATCCAATACTCTTCCACCATATTCATGAATATCAAATGGTGGGCGCGAGTCCTGTCAAAAAACAGGCTACCCTTGGTTCAAATCATTACAAACACGAAGAACCTAAAATCCAAAATTAAAGGTAAGTTTGTGATATGTAAAGAGAGCACAAGTAAATGCACACACTTGCTCTTCCAAGCTCTGCTCAATTCTCTGTTTCCAAGTTGAAACCCGAGCAGCCACTTCGGTTTGCTTCTCAGTTTCAGCAATGCTAGCAAGGAGAGAATCCTACACATAAGAAGATGGGTTACTCCTTACTAACCATGTTGCTCTAAAAAATAACTAAAATAGTAAGGAAAAGTGCAAATTTTTTTGGAATCCGGGCGCAAAGTCTGAGCAACCACTAGTTCTGTTGCTTTTTGGATTGCACTCGGCAACAGCTGAGTGACCAAGTGAAACTACAGAAATTGCGGGGACATAGATTCCACCAGAGATGAGCAACTGTTAGTTTTGCAATGATAGACAGCATAGCTTCTTCAACATGACCCTTAACCCAGCAGACCCATAAACCCAACCACCAACCCCCGTAACCTCACAGCAAGAGAGAGAGTAAAAAAATTTGACTGGATTTTATTGTGATGTGAAATTAAAAAGAAAAACTTTTTACCAGGTGAGAGCGACAAAGATCTTCGAGGCTTGCATGAGGATCTTCAAGACCATAATCTTCATTGGCATCAAAGTGAGCATTGCCATCATTATGCTGCATATAGTTCATCGCACGAGCAATCAAACCAAATTTCCTACTGATCAGCAGGAGAAACACAAGCTACATCATAAAGCACAGCAAAGGTCCGTCTAACCTTTTCAGGGTGTAGAGGTCCTTCTTCGTCTATGTGTGTACCCTCAGGCATGTCAAAGTCAGGGGTCCCAGTATCATTGTCCACATTGTCATCCTTAAAATTCCAAAACGTGGCACAATTCTCTTGCTCTCCATGAACAAGAGATTGTCGCAGCTGCAGGTAGAACTTCAGGATTATATAATAGCTAGACGAACATAGGCAGACAACACAACACCAAGAAACCAACCTTCTCATACAGTGGAGGAGATTGTAATTCCTGTTGTTTTTCCAACGCACGACGTTTCTTCTCCCACATTTCACTAAGCTCGGAACTAATGGGACCATGCAGTCTTGCAAGAGGAAACTCTGTAGTTAGAGGAATTCGTTGACTGGAATTTACTCCCTCCCTTCTAACGGCTTTCACTGCTTGGAGACAAAAAATGAAGTCCAATACTATTACGTGAGTAACAAAGGATAAAAAGAGAGAAGCACGCAAAGGAAACAAAAGCTTGGGCGACCTTTTTTATAAGGTTTTACTTTCAAATTCCCAGGTTCATGGGGATTCAAAGGTTTCCATGGATCATCATCATTATCATCATCATCCGAGTCCCTAGGCTCTGTATACCCATTATCCATTTCAAACCCCGAATTATTGTCTTCTGGAATATCAGCAGCAGGGTAGGACCCAGTATTACAATCATTAAATAGAAAGCAATGATCAACCAAAGGAGATTGATTGAGTTTAGCATCCTTGTTCTTTCCAACAGATGACCTTTGGTCAGTTCCCCCAGAATGTTTTGCTGGAGACTGAAAGCTCTTGCGATATTTAGAGTTCAAAGAGCTGACTCCACGAACACTATTCTGCCATTTACTAGCTTTATAATCACCCTTTATAAAATCATTAACTGCCACCGCATCACATGGGTCTAATAGGATAAAGTCCCGGTAAAGATCGTTGGTGACTAACTGTAACCAAAAATAAACTAATAAATAAGTAAAATCATAACGATATAAACTCGATGCTATACATCAAAAAATAACATAAAGGTACCAGATAGGACTCTAATTCCCCACCATCACCAGTAGCATCTAAGCAATCGCCTTCAAGCACAACTAGATTTGCAGGGGGCTTCACAAAGTGATTTAATGGATCATCTCTGCTGGTTACACTATCTAGGGAGTTCTTAGCTTCCACTGCAATACAACATAATTTTAGCCAACTAACAAGCTGTAAATCTACAAGATAATGTGCATAATGACTAGCAACCTGGAATATCATCTAAGCCCCAGAATGGATCATTTTCTTCATCAGCAACAGCATGCCAACCACTTTCTTCTGCTTGGTCTGGCGTGCTCTCTGGTTGATGATCTTGCTGGCTGTTCAATTATTGCAGTAACAAAAAATTATGCGTATGTGTAATTGTTTTTATTTCTGCTAACTTTGACATAAATACCATTTTGCATTTAGAAGTGTAATAATCTAGCACAAAATTGGGTCTTTTCGATAAGAAATGAACCACACCGATTATATACTTTCTCCGAGTGATAATATTTCACTTGAACCAAGCATGCTGTTTCAAGAAACTTGATCCAATCAAATGATTGGCCTGCAGCTAAATCTTAGTATACTATTATATAGAAAACTGAACTATTTTGAAAATTGTCATCGGCATTAAAGGAAATGACAAAACTATTTTAATTTCATTGGCATTTAACAACAACACTTTTTCCCATCATCCAATGAAATTCTTCCCAAAATTGATGCTCTGCCTCCTTAATTATGTTCCTTATAATGTTAAATATCACCATTTGACCAACATATAAGTTTTTAACTGCCTTGCTTGCTCTCCTTTGTATGATTTTTAAGAATGAATTTTGCTTTTGTCAGCTCTCACCAATAATTCCTCACATTATAACATGAATTCGGTTACCTTATGTTCTGATTTTTTTTTTTAATTCCCTCTCCATTGGCTAGGTAATATATAGCTCATCAGTAGATGAAGGCATATTTGAGACTAAAATTAAATATCTTTATCGAAATTATGATTATTAAAAAATGAAGTAAAAGAATGAAGTGTCTAAATTTGTCCTACATCATTTTTTTCTTTCGGTAATGTTTCCCAATTAGAAAAAGGTTTTAAGCATAAGACCTTTTGTGGTTTCCTAAACTTTATAGGATGAGACCTTCCATCTCAAGTTTGACAAAGTCCAGGCCACAGGAGTAATGTAAGTCCTATGTACTTTGAGGAACTAGATTAACACTAAAAGGATTCACATATCCCTGTTGTTAGCCACAAATAATAATTCCCAAACAATAGATGTACTAAACAACATAAACAAATATGAATAACTCATACTAAATCATCCAAATATAAAATAGCAATACAGATACACTGAATTACTGAAAACAAATTAGGAAAAGGACACTTGTTGCTACACAAAACACAATTAATCAACAAAACTGAAAAATTATGCAACACAAAAGACCAATGTACTATGTAAAACTTAAACATTGATCTCCAATATAACAAATTTATAATTTTTCATTCAAAAATTAACTGTAATAAAGCTGAGAAATTAATAACTGAGTCAAACCTTTTCTTAGAAATGAACTCCAAAGCATGTAAAACCAAAGTATAAAGATATTCGACCTTCCTACTGTAGACCTGAATTGAACCCTGGAGCAGCAGCGCAGCTACATTTCCCGCATAATCACAGCATTAAAAAAACTCAAAACCCACAAAAAAAAAATTGTAACTCAAATGCTAACCTTCCGCGAAATTCACAGAGAGGTAACCATCATCTTCGCCAGTGATTTCACCGGTGCAAATCTTGAGGAGATATTCCTCGAGGTTTTTGGCGAGATCTACGGCCCAATTCGATTCGAGATCACGAAGTGGTTGTACTGTGTGAAATTTGCCACTGAAATCCGGTTGCTCTTGATCCTTATTCATTTTTCTATACATAAAATCGGAACGCCCATTATAGATACTCAGTGTTGCATTTGTGAAACCCTACCTCTTAAAATTGGGGGTCGGAAATGAAAACCCCCTGAATTTGAAGTCAGGGTTTTGAAATAAACCCTTGAAATCGTAGAGTAGATCTATGTGTACGTAAGGGCGGAGACTCTGTAGAGAGAGAGAGAGAGAGAGAGAGGATCTCCCAATGTGGACGAGAGAGTGTTCAAAAGTTTTGGTGACCGTTTTGCCGCTCATGTGTGGTTGGGCACTCGGGTATTCCATTAATTCATGGATTTGGGCCTACGCATGAGCACAAAGGCCCAAAATTCGGTACTATATGGGCCTGTCTAGAAGGGCTTGGGGCCCAAAGTGAGTGTCAATAATAGTTCAAAGAGATACATCCAAATTTTTTTTGAGTTTTAAGAGCCGGTACTTTTTTTAGAAATTATAAGGCAAAAAGTACCATTTTTAAAAATATTGATCAAAAAATTTACAATACATAACAAATGTCTAAAATAACCCACTCGAAAGAAGGTGAATAGTCTCCTAAATTTTTCCCCCTAAAGCTGAAACAACGGGAAAGGATACTCATAACTCCTTCAATATTGTCGAAAATGTGGGCTCTTCAAAAATTGATGACATAATTTCCTAAAACCTCCATTCTTTTCAAAATAGGATGTTCAAAATCAATTTTTTTTTTCTTCGGATGGGTTTCTCTGTGAGTTAGTGAAAGGCTACTAGTGGACGGTGAAGAACGAATTAAAGAAGAAAGGTTTTCATTGTGGAGATAAAAGTATGTGAAAACTTCCTAAACTCTCTGTTCCTTTCAAGACATGATGTTCAAAATGGGTTTTTCGTTCAACCCATTCTCATTTTTTTTTTTGATTTGTTCACTGTTCAATTTTGATGGGTTCACTTTAACAATGTTGAAAACTTTCGTTCAAGACATGGTGTTCAAAAATGGGTTTTTCGTTCAACCCATTTTCAAATTTTTTTTTTTGATGTGTTCACTGTTTAATTTTGATGTGTTCACTTTAACAATGTTGAAAACTTCCGTTCAAGACACGATTTTCAAAATGAGTTTTTTGTTTAACTCATTTTCAATTTTTTTATGTGTTCAATGTTCAAAATGATTTTTTTTTTTTTAAAATGGATTCAATGTGAAATAGTGAAAATCTCTATTTCAGACGATGACGACCACACCATTTTTGTAAACGGTGAATAAGAAGGCATACATTGGGGTGAGGAAGGACTGTTGAGATCATTGAATAATGCTTGAAAAGAACTTGTCAACATTGGAGAAGGTAAACTTTGATAAATTATGGCGCTGAATCAAAAATAATTCCAAATTTTTTTGGTAATTTGATTGATTGTTACAATTGTTATTTATGATTAAATTGTTAAATTTCACAAGGAATATTGCATTATGATTCAAGTAAATTTGAGTATTTGTAAATCCGCAAAATTTGTTATTTGACCAATAATGTAATAACAAATTAATTTCAACTATATGTCAGGGTCGACTGTGGTGTGTACGTTTGCCATATTATGAAACAATTGGCAACAGGAGAAGGCATAGAAGAGAATTTGACACAAAGACAAATAAAAGACTTTCGAAGTGAAATGCTGTCAATGTTTCTGAATCATCAAAATTCTTGGACAAAAGACGATTTCAAAACAAGACGAATGATGCAGACAAATTTATGGGTGCATGATTAGTTCTGCAAACTGTTATTACACATTTGAAGTGTAAATATGATTATTGAATAGTGTCATTGGGATTTTGATGTAATACTGTTACTATGATGATATTGTTTGATTGTGGGAGTACTAATGTGACTTTGGGTTGTAGCAATGTGATTTTGGATTGTAACAGCGCAACTTTGGATTATAACAGTATGACATTACACTGTCAATTTTGTTAATTTGATTTGTAACAGTGTGACATTAAATTGTCACATTGAGGATTTGATTTGTAACAGTGTGACATTAGGTAAATGACTGACAGTAGAATTATATTTCTTTTGTATCAGTGTGTCATTGGTTGTATCAGTATCATTTGAAGGTTAAAATATGATGACATTAGTTTGAGTGAGGGTGGCGTTTGGCTGGAAGCAGTGTGTCATTAGCTGATAGCAGTGTGACATTGATTGTTAACAGTATATCAATGTTTGATAACAGTGTGTCATTGTCTGTTTATCATGCTGATTTTGGGTTGTAGCAGTGTGTCATTAAATGGTTTAATTGTCTACTTTCATATTGAATGTGGGTTACATCAGTGTTATATTAGGTTTGTAACATTGTGATATTGCATGGTCGTCTGACTTTGACATTAGTAGTGAATCCAGTGACATGTGTTGTCACACTGTGACAAATATAAATGTACAACTGAAAAAAAAAATATATACGTAGAAATATGTAATTAACTCAAGCAGACTAATATATGGATATTTGAAACATGGGTTAAGAAATGGATAATGAAATCATCTGTTAAATGAAGGAGGAAGAGGAAATTCAAAATTAAAAAATGATATAGCATAAAAAAAAGGAAAACTGAATCGAAAATATAACTATCTTATTTGTGTCCCATTAATAAAGGAAAATGACAATTTTATAAGAAAAAAAATTACAATTCAACAAAAGTGTATCTCCTTACCAAACATTTATAAACAAATGTACTTATATATAAATATTTTATATTGAGATAATTTTTCACAAATAAGTGTTACATAGTGTACTTTTTTACAATTTTCCCATTTTTTTTTTGAAGTTGTATATCCAAATATTTTTTTTTTTGAAGTTGTATATCCAAATATTTTTTTTTTGGCAGACACTATAACATAGAAGAGAATGACAAAGTTTGAACCTACAACGTTAAGGTCTAACAGCTGGCCAACCCCTAACCTTGTATATTACTGGTGGTATCCTAATTAGAGAACTAGTTGTATTTTGGTGTTCATAGCATCGATTCAATTCTACTAATCTAATCTAGTTATACATGTTTTTATTTAGTTGGAGGGTAAAATGGTAAAATATAATTTAATATGATTTTACTATATTATATGGGCTCGTTTGATAGACGTATTATGAGGGAATTAAATATTGAATTGTACTATTTTTTATTTAATTAGGCCTAATACTTTGTTTGGTAAGCAAATTTGATACCGTATTAATTTCAAAAATGTATACTTATTATATATTTTTTATACGATAGACCCGTATTATTGAAGTTTTTTAATTTAAATTTTTATCAAAGTAACAAACACTGATTGAGGGTATTTTTGTTAATTCAACATTAATACGATGAAATAATTCTCTAACTAAACAATCGATTGAATTAAATAACTACTATCCAACGCTTATATTGTGTATTATCAAACCCTAGATAAAATTACGTATTATTCTAATATCATATTTAATCTTTTCTTTAATTCATTTGTATTGTATTAGACTGTAAAATTTTATCTAATCCATCCAATTTTAATACAACAACCAAATGAACCCTATGTATACGAAATAAAGCTAGATATAAAACGGAGTATTTTTAACAACCAAACGTAATATAAGGTTGAATTAAAGAGTTTTAATTTATTATGAGTTCTTAATACACCCCTTTATACCTTGAGTATGGCAGAGAGAAAATTCATGAAATTTTTTTGACTAACACGTGCATAGCACATGAGACATGTCTTCTTCAATTGATCTATGGATCAATTCAAAAACTTCCACTATACTCTGTATGATGAAAATTGTAAGTCATGTTGGGGAAAGATATTGTTTATCGTTAGTGTCTATGATAAAATCAGTCGGGAGATCTGAGAGGCAATAGTTTATCTTACGATAGATGTCAACAATTTAAATTTGCCTCTCTCTAACTCCTGAATTTAGTTGATACAAAGTTATATGAAAGTATTCAATTTTTTTTTTATTTTTGCATTTTGATCTATCAATTTTCAGTAATAGACATTTATAAGATCTAAAATAGTATATACCACGTCAAATTATTCATTGTCAGCTCACCAAATTGAACAACTGCGCATCACGCTTCGATCTATATCTGCCCTACTAATTATTTTGATCATTATAGTTTGTACTCATCCCATTAATATGTTAATTATGCTCTCCCACTCCATTAAGATGTTTCTATATATTTTACTTAGCTAAAAAATTGTTTAATCCGACTTTGATAGTGTATTATTGATTTTCAAATCATGTATAATTGATTTTCATGCCTAGAAATTTATATTATGTGTATATTCAGATTAGCATAATAACAAAGTGCTAGTTTGACCCATTAATGCCTAATGTTTGATAGATTGGAATTTTTTAATAGTAATGAAGTGTGTGTCTGTGTATGTGTATGTGTGTGAGAGAAAGAGAAGATGGGCACTCCACTAATTAATTACAATTCATTAAGTCTTCAAATTATGTCTACTAACATTAGTATTGTAAATTAAATAGCCATTAATCAATTTTTTTTTTTTGCTATAATAGGGTGTTAAAGTTTGCACTGACAACTCTTTTGAGCTCAATATTGGTCACTGTAGTCCGAGTGAGTTTAAAACATGTCACTTCAAAAATAAGGATAGTTGATCTTTAGGAGGTATGAGAGATATTGAACATGAGATCTCTGATTAGCAGAGGTCAAACTCAACCACTGAACTACCCTCAAAATTAACCACTAATCAACGTTAGCCAAGGTTATATTAATGCTTGGAAATATCCTGCAATAAAATTGACTATGGAAACAAAATTCCTATGGAATTATATGAGGACAAAGAAGTATATGCTAAAATACATGCCTTAATAGATATAGAAAGGAAAATATTAGCATTAGTTAGTGATAAAGTTATGATTTTTTCATATGGCGTTGACTTCGACAAATAGATAATCCATTAATTGAACGCATGCTCTAGTTAAACTACCCATCTCTCTAACATTACCATATATACTTTGGGAGATGGACTAGAAGCGTTTTTTCAGCTCACTTTATATATATATATATATATTTGCTTCTTTTATGGTTTATAATGGTAGATTTTCTCCTACTTTTAATTTAATTTTTTAAAAATTGAGGATTTTTTGGTACTCAAGGAGAATAAATATTCTTTCTTGACCAAATAAAGTGACGGTCATAATATGAATAGATATATGTCAATGCAATTACTACAAATAGTAAGAAATCGGGTCTAGTTCAGCTCCTATTTTACTTTAGTTACGATTAAGAGCTCAAAGCTCAAAACGCTTTATCTTTTTCCTGTTTAAAGACAGATTGATAGTTGGGTAACATTTGGCCTTGTTGTTTGTTTTTCACTCGATGTCTAACTCAAGCTTGTTCAAGAACGAGCTCTAATTTTCACTAATAACTAAGTGGCTTGTTTCCAAATTTCATAGTCCAAGTTTTCCTTAGTAAAATGATAATGAATACTCCAAACTTCAACAAATTTATTTACCCCTAAAAAATTTATTTATCCTGAATAAAATATTCAACAGATTTGACCAAATTCAATAATACTATAATTAGAACAATACAAAATTCAACCTCTTCTAAATAGCATAATACAATTTTTGCCGGTAAAAACCTAACAACCTTCTATTTTGTTGGAACTCTCAGCCTCACATTTTCTAACATAAATTTACCTTAGTTTCCTTTCGTGGCTTATATTTCTATCCCCTATCTAATCTGAAAACTATATAAAGGTCACTTGTCACCCATTGGAAATCAGAGCCCAAGGGGTTTCATAGACTCTACACAAAGAGAGAACCCCAAGAGCTCTGTTCTTTTTCTGTCTCTTACCTACGGCAAGAGAACAAAGAAATATTTCACAGATTTACACAGTAAATCAAAATGGGGTATAGTGATGGTTCAGGGAAGAAGAAGGCCACCATTATTGGTCTCTCTTCAGTTCTCCTAGTTGCAATGGTGGTGGCAGTGACGGTTGGTATTAACAATAAGAACACTGGAGCCACTGCTGGTGGCTCCGCCGGTAATGGTGAGATATCCACCAGCAACAAGGCAGTCACCGCCATCTGCCAACCTACAGATTACAAGGAAACATGTATCAACAGCCTCTCCTCCGCCAAGAACACTACCGACCCTAAAGAGCTAATCAAGTTGGCTTTTCAGGTGACTATGAACAACATTGGTGACGCCATTAAAAGCTCTTCTGTTCTTAAAGAAGCAGCCAAGGACCCAAGAACCTCTCAAGCATTTGAGACTTGCAAAGAGCTTTTGGACACCTCCATTGATGATCTCAAGAGATCTTTCGATAAGCTCAGCGAATTTGACGCTAGCAAGATGGATGATTACGTTGCAGATCTCAAGGTTTGGCTCAGCGGTTCCATCACCTACCAAGAGACTTGCTTGGATGGTTTTGAAAACACCACCGGCGACTCAGGCGAGAAAATGAGGAAGCTTTTGAAAACCTCCGCCGAGCTCTCGAGCAATGGTCTCGCCATGGTTTCCGAGCTTTCCCAGCTCCTTTCTTCCTTGCAAATTCCGGGTGTCAGTCGTCGTCTTTTGTCTAATGACTATGATAATGATTATCCTTCATGGGTCAATTCCGGAAACAAGAGGATGCTCCTCCAGGCTACTCCGACGACGATCAAACCCAATGCGGTGGTTGCTAAGGATGGCAGTGGACAATATAAGACAATCAATGATGCTTTGAAGGCTGTCCCACAGAAAAGCAACCAGACCTTTGTGATTTTCATTAAGGCTGGTGTTTATAATGAGTATATTGACATTCCTAGGGGCACCAACAATGTTATGTTCCTCGGAGAAGGTCCAACCAAAACCAGGATCACCGGGAACAAGAACTACGTCGATGGAGTTGGCACTTACAAGACTGCAACAGTTGGTAATCAATCCTTCCTCATCTTTCTCATAAATTGATAGAACTTGCCATCTATCTTATTGGAAAGTAATGATCGATGTTGTTATCTTCAAATGACACAGCCGTGAATGGAGATCATTTCATTGCCAAGGACATTGGATTCGAGAACTCCGCAGGAGCAATCAAGCACCAAGCCGTGGCACTTCGTGTCTCCGCCGACACGGTCATCTTCTACAACTGCAATATGGACGGTTACCAAGACACCCTCTACGCTCACTCCTACCGCCAATTCTACCGTGACTGCACCATCACCGGCACCATTGACTTCATCTTCGGCGACGCTGCCTCTGTCTTCCAAAACTGCAAGATGATCGTCAAAAAGCCAATGGACAACCAGGCCTGCATGGTCACAGCCCAAGGAAGAAAAGATAAGCGTGGACTAGGCGCTATTGTCCTCCAGAACTGCTACATCACGGCTGAGCCGGCATTCATTGCCGCTAAAGGACAGTTCCAGTCCTACCTCGGACGGCCATGGAAGGAATTCTCGAGAACCATTGTCATGCAGTCTTTCATTGATAGCACCATTGATCCTACAGGTTGGGCACCATGGGTTGGTACTTTTGGACTTGACACATGCTTTTATGCTGAGTTTAACAACAGAGGACCTGGTGCTGGCCTTGCGTCGAGAGTGACATGGAAGGGTATCAAGAAGATAACTCCACAAGAAGCTATGGGTTTCACTCCAGGACAGTACATTGAAGGAGATTCTTGGATTAAGCCCACTGGCATTCCTTATGATTCTGGCATGATGAAAGTGTAAAGGGGGGATGAGGATGTAATTTAATCTATACCCATTAATGAAATACGATTTGAATATAAATTATTAAGAAGATTTAGATTTTTTATATTATACTTTCAATTATTTTACACAATGGTATGTCACCCATTGTACATGAGTAAATGATCAATCAATGAGTGAAATTAATTAAAAGCGTAAGTGTTTTATACTATGATTAGATTTTTTTTCTTTTTTGATTTGTTACAAATTATGAATATGTAAAAGTATCAAAACTTAATGGGGAAAAATAAAAATTACACAAATCAAGGATAAAAATTTTAATTTTTGATATCTAAGAAGGGTCACGGCCCATTTAGGTCATGGTATAGTTTCGTCTCTAAACTAGGGAATGGGCAGAAAGAAAAATTCTTGATTCAAGTAAGGATAAATTACACGTTGGCTCCTTCTAGTAAGGACCTAGTTGCGATGTACCATCTAAAGTTTTAGATGAAATAAATTGCCTGACACATTTAATGAAAAGTTCAAAACTAATTTGTACCAAGAATCAAAATTTCATTTTAAAACGGTTAAAACGTTTTTATTTTCAAAGAGACTAAAATAAATCAATAATTAAATCGAATACCAATTATTTGAAGTGTTTTCAGAGTGTTTTAAGATATTTCTGTAAAATTTTATTTGACCAAAGAGATTAATCAAACCCTAATTTTAAGATCTAGAATAATTATAATTTTCACAGACTCATAATAATTATAATGCGGAATTAAAACATCTTAATCAACATACCTGAAGCCATAATCGTAAACCTAGAATTTTTTTTATCAAGAATTGAACATCCTTTGGTATAGTCCAAAAATTGGTTAGATTAGGATTGGTAACCTTATAATTATCTAACCCAAATTAATTTTTTGATAATAATCAGTAAAATCACATATGCCAAATCATGTGGATCACATTAATTCTTACATTCTTCCACTTGGCCTATGATTATCTTACAATTGGGCCTAGCAAAGTTTACATAAACGCACAATAAATCCAATCTATCATCACCTTAATTTGGTCATCATAATATCACAATTAAACAACCTATTAATGCAAGTCATGGCGGTTGTACATTATTAACGCGACATAGTTCCTTTCACGTACTACAACACTAGCAATATGTCTAACATGATCTATAATTGAGAAGTATATAAAATAAGATCCAACAATAATGCCTTGCGTTGAAAGCTATTTTTGTTATCATTCATTCAATCTTATACACATACGTACACTAAAAAAACAAGAATTATTATAAACAGTTTAAATAAGAACTGAAAGTGTCAAATAAATAACTATTATGCAAAATTCACAACATTATGTAAATAAGACATTAGCTACAATCAATGCTCATTATGCTAACACGTTTCTTAAATGTCTTAATTAATCTTTTTCTTAATAGATTTGCAATCATGAGCTCCATGCTATTATGTTCTATAAAAACTTAGCAAAAAACACATATGCAAAATCATCACGATAAGTTCTCAACGACTTGGCCATAAAGACGACAACTCCAAGTTCTGAGATAAAATTTCGCAACTATAATTAATAAACTGTAGCCTGAAAGTAAGCCACAAATTTAACATTCATAATTGTCAATTACCACTAGATGATTAGACATTTTAAAAGTGAGTGTATAGTCATTCATACCTTGTGAACTCATAATGATCCATTTTTGGATCAGCTTGATATTTACTTAATATACTAACTGTAAAAATAATATCTAATATTATACACATAAATGTATACATAAAACATCATGCAATAGAAACATAAGGAATCAATTTCATTATTTGTAAAAAAAAAAAATTCATTATTTGGATATTACATACTGCTGAACTTATTCTTTTTATTTAAATTGAAATAACATTAGCTAAATAGTTCTCCACATTAAATCTATCTAAAATTCTTCTTATAAATTCTTTACTCAAATAATTTACGTGATCGATCCTGAGAAATTTAAATTTTAATCACATAAGTTGTCTCATTATATCTTTCAGTTAATATTTATAAAGAGAACCTTGGTTCCATGTAATAATCTAAGATAACTACTGACAAATAATACAACAACATTAATATATAGAGTTAAAAACTTACTCCTACTAACCTTAACATTTATATACACCAATAATGGTGCTTTCCTTAATACTGAAAGAAGTAATAGTATCTTTAAACTTAAAATACTAGGGTGGAAAAACTTTTTTATGTTTATATATTAACCTATTAAGTTTGCAAGCAAAGTGTTACTTCACTTATAAATGAGCCCTTCTTATATACATAATAGAAGGTTTCTATGTAATCAATACCACATTTATAAGTGAAACCTTTGGCCATAAGTTTGACTTCATATCTAACAGGATTTCAAACTTCATTTTGGTCCGTTGGTTTTAATTAATCATTCATGACATCAATCCAATTAGCATAGTCATTACTTCCTTTGACTTGTGAAAATGAAATTAAATCTTTATTTATCCCTAAATCAAAATTGAATTATTATAGATATATCACGTAATCATTCGAAATAACTTATTTTATTTCTATTAGGGATTATCTTAATGCTACTTATGCGATATTTTTTTATTCTCAATTTATTGGTGACAATTTCAGTATGGAGTGGTTAATCATTAATTTCTTGTTCAACATTATCAAATTATTCAACAACTAATTGACAACAATATTATGGCAAGTTATGGGTATTAAGACTTCCACTTTTCTTTAATAAACATGTTCTATAATTTATCACTCTCACTGATTTTACCATTCTTAATAAATCTGACTTTATTAATACATATAATTCTCATATCATGGGTATGATAGTAAAACCTATAACCTTTAGATTTTTCTGGATAACCAATGAAATAATATTTGATCATTATAAAATTCAATTTCTTTTTAGATGTCTCAAACTCCAAGAGCATTCTTCTATAAAATAAGAGAAATGAGAAATCCCGTAATATAATTTTAAGTATTTTCACTATGTTGTTATTATGCCTATTAGTTATACCATTATGCTACGGCGTACAAGACTGTGTGTTGAGCACAAATACTATACTTTTTAAAGACTTTAACAAATAGACAAGATCATTATTCTTAACCATCATACCTTGCATAATATTCACCATCTATACGATCTAATGACTTTCATCTTCTATATAATTGTCTTTCAACATTAATAATATGTACCTTAATAACATTCTCTACTTAAAATTTTTATGTAGTATTTTGAGATAACTATAATGTGAAAAATCATTCATAAATATGATAAAATTCTTTATATAAATGTATGGATAAGTTTAAAAAGTTTTACACTTCTAGCATCCTTTTTGGTGTGTTTGATTCATTTTTTCTTAATAGAATCTATACACGTCAAAATCAATAAAATTCTAGATTGAAAACAATATCATATTTAACTTGTTTCTTCAACATTTCTCTAATTATGTGACCTAATTATTTATGTGACATGATAAAATAAATTTTCATTTATCGGACTATAGTAGGTTCTAAACATTATGATGTAGGGTTAAAAAAGATTCAAAAATAGGTTATCAGGTTTTAATTTGTACAAACTATTATAAAAAATATCATAATGCTAAAAAAAGTATTCTTAAACAAACTAACATTTTATTATCATATTTGAAAGGAATGTGATAATAATCATCATGAAGTTTAGATAAGAAAATCAAACTTCAAAATAGCATAAACATAAATTATTATATAAATAATTACTGATATATAGAAACAAATAAAAAGTCTCAACCATCTTAAGTTGGGCTTTGACCCGATTAACAATGAATATTAATTTATGATTTATCATTCTGGGTTAGAAAAAATCTCTATTATCAAATTTGAAACATTTGTAATAGCAAATTCAAGTCAATCCATAATGTGCTAGAAGAAATTTCATTAAGGTTTAATTCAAACTATACAAATACTTTAATGTTTATCTTTCTTTTTGAATCACTCCCTTCGTTTATGTCAATCATTTATTTATTTCTTTTATGAGCCTAATTAGCTAAGTAGGCTCTTGATCTTGGAATAGTGCCCTAAGTTGTTAAGTCTTCTTTCATCTTGAACAAACATAATATGAATACATTAACATGCTACTTATCATTAATAAAGGTTCAATATCAAGGGGCAAAAAGTTCAAAATAAATTACGTAAAAGAACTCATCTATCCCTAAAGTATTCAACTTAGTAGTTAGAATTATGAGGATATATTTATGCATCTCATATATGCTATCAAATTCCATAATGATAAGTTCAACCATCAGTGTCCAATAAGAAACTCATCAATAATTCAATAACATTCTTGCATAACTATATAACATTCATAAGCATTATCCATTTGCGAAAATACTAACTTAGTGTAGTACATAATTATTATTCGCATAAACACAATGCCTAGTTTATTCAATTCCTTATTGGCTTTGTGGAAAACCCTTTTCATTAGAAAAACTTAATTCAGTAATAGCAGTTAAGTGTTAGACAAATAGTCAAAATATATAAGTAAAATTGAATTTGTTCACATTAATCTAAAAATATTCATTCCATTAAGTATCAAAATAGACAAAGTATGTGAATGTAACAATACATGAACTATCAATAAGAGAAAGTAAAGACTCACTACATTAATGCTTTGAGTCATCGATAAGTTTAACCATGAGTTAGAATAGATACATATTCTAAGAAGCAATAAGTAGTACTACCGTGACTTTCCTTTGGATAATAATCACGATATACTAATACATTAACCATTATGATGATTCTCTCTCACCTAATATAACTAATTGATAATATATTCATAATTAGGTAGGTATGTCACCTTTGGGCATCGGTTCCACACCCATTATGAATATACATCAATTATCCTATTCCAATTAATTAATCACTTAATAGGTGGTGCACTTTTGGACCGATTCATATTATTCAAATGATTAAGGAACTGCGATTTGCAAGTCACTATTTTAATATCTCAGTAACGAGTA